AAAATGTACATAGCGGACAATTGGAGTCCTAATATACGAATAAGCGAACGAGTGAGGTAGACGTACTCGAAACACCAAAGAATGTATAAACTTAACTCTTTTGAAATATTGATTGGATTGATAATATGAACATTAAAAAAATCATGTGGTTTAATGGAACACTTAAATATACAAATACATGTATAAAAGCAATGACTACTAATAGGGTGGTTTTGATCTATTCTATCGCAATTATTAGCATAATTATGTACATTAGTAAATGAGATAGTTAAATGCAAATTCCAATACTTACAAGTTAAAAAAATTGTTCTTATACAATACAAATTAAAAAAAAAAACTCCTTTCGAAATAAAATGAGACAGATAAAAAGATTCAGAATTGACAAAAAACAAAGAATAAAGAAGACAGGACGATTCATACTTAGGCAATCAGTATTTTTGTCATTTTCTGCTGAAATGGCTAACATATAACAGGGTTTGTATGTGCAGGCATGTATGTTTTCAACTAAAAATATGAGTTTGATATAATAATGTTAAACCAGATATTACAGAAACTTAAAATTTTACATCTGAGCAACCAGTGGTACCAAAAACACTACCGCAATGGCCACACTTCCTCCTAGAATAGCAAGAAGAGAAAACACATCCAAAGTGCTCGCCACAAGCTTCCAATCCACGTCGTATCGATTCTGAGGAGAATCATCGCTGTAAATACTCTCAATTTCATCGATATGGGATCGTGATTTCCTCGCTGATCCTTGTCTCATTGTTTCTAATTCCAGTTCGTCTGCACCTAATAATGGCGTCTCCTCCTCTTCATCTTCATCGTCGTCATCCCTCCTACAGACTCGACAATTAAGACAAGCAATGAAAAGGGCAAGACACGAGGGTACAGGGTCGTCTTCATCCTTTAGGTAGACGCGGAGAGTGAAGATGGTTATGATGGTAGCAACCGCACTAACGACCACCATCGACATAAGGTAGTAACTCAGGATTGCCATTGGCTCTGATGTCCTAGGCATTCCGTCTGCAATCAAAGTTAAGTAAACTGCAAATGACAAAAATGCTGTGACAGAGTAACCGACCCTCTCTCCACTTTCCAGAGGAAGGACAAAAACCAGAGCATTCAGAATACCCAAGATGATAATTGGCAAGAAAAAGTTAACCAAATAGTATGTGGGCTTTCGTGCTAATGTAATTTCCATTTTGACAAAAGAACCACCATCCACAGATTCAACAATTAGTTTTGTATTTGAAAGGGTCCATTCATCTGATGGTGTATAATCTCTCAGATCCAAACTCGATGCAGTGGGTACAAATACAACTTCTTTGTCACTATAACCCCAGTGAGTAAAGGTTATGTTGCAAGTCTGTTTATCAAATGGGAAATAGGCCACATCTACAACACATCCAGTTTTTGTCACAACACCGGGTCTCCATTCCATTTTACCGTGATTGTTGAAAGGATCTGTCGCCTCTGTAATCCTGTACATTCGAACATAGTTAGAATCATCCCCAACAGGAACAATGGCTGACGCGGAATTAAACAGAGAGACAGGAGGCTTCCAGACGAATCTATGAGGAATAGCAATTTCCGAGAATTTTCCATGGGCATCACTGTCATAAGAATCATCCACTAACTCATCATACCAAGTCAGAGTCAGTATCCCAATAACCTCTAACGTACCGGCTATTTCATTTAACTCTGTGATTGCTATTAAACTGAAATTAATGTCTACCTCTATTGTCTTATTAAAATTTTTTCTTGGAAATATCAAGTTGTCGTAAGTCTTTGTGGATTTTATGAAAGTGTCCTCGATGAATGTTGACATTTCTAATGCCGTTGAAAACACTCGCGGTTTAGGTGTAGTTGTTGTCGGCCCTGTTGTTGTAGATGGCGTTGTCGTAGTTGTCGGTGTAGTGGTGGTGGTTGTCGGTGGTTCTGTTGTGGTGGTGGTGGTTGTCGGTGGTTCAGTTGTTGTGGTGGTGGTTGTTGGTGGTTGTGTTGTGGTCGTGGTCGTTGCAGGTGGTTGAATGGTGGTTGTCGTTGTTGTTGTTTCTGTATCCCCGGACCCTGATCCTTTTCCTTTGTTGCAATTACTGCCATCAGATTTTTGACCACAGTTACTATGAACATAGTCGATAGAAAGCAAAAGATACAAACAGAAGAGAACGATTCTGGCCGTCATGTTTTCCGCTAGGGTTTTGAGTCTCGAAGCACGTTAAAACTTAATTTAGGCATTCTAATCAGTCTACTGCATCATTTGGCCCTGGAATCTTTGACATTTAAACTACTGTTGTACTGGTAAGTTTATCAATTAAAGTTGTATTATTCATAAATAAGATTTATATGCGTATTGCAAACTATTCAGATGCAACGAGCATTATTGAAAGACATCACTATTTGTAAATCCTTTTATGTATGTGTAATTAGCCGTAGTTCGTTTTTGAAAACAAAACATTTTATTTATATAGAAATTCTATAAGATATTACAAAGATTCATTTCAAAATAATAAATCGAATTTTTAGTAAAATGGTAGAGGAGGATAAGAGATTTCTGTAGTTTTCCCTCATAATAAATTTGATCTTTTTTATAATAAAGAGATAGTTTTTGAAAGCAGAAAATTACGAATTTAATTAGTTGAATATGATTTCAATGTATCTATACTTTGTCAGTCCACCTTTGCATCTATTATAACAGCAGAAATTCTTCTTGGCATATTTGTATCTGTGTCAAGGCATACTTTTGAGAATCTTTTTCCCCATTGATTTCTATATATTCTCAATCGGATTGAGTCTGGACTACTCCCTGACCAGGAAAGTACGCTCACATTTCTTGATTGAAGAAGTTGTCTCGGCTTACATATACTTGTGACATGGAACTTCGTCTTGCTGGGAAATTTAGTCTTTTTGGTTACTTGCAAAATTAAAAGTTCCTCTATACTTTTCAAAACGTTTGCGCCACTTTCAACGAAAATACACCGGCATGAATTAAATTGATAGTTATATTCTTAATTGTATATATCCTGGTTGATAGTTTTCTATATTCTAATTATTTTTTCCTTTTGTTGTTAGATCGAAACGCAATTTCATCAGATAAAGTATCTTTTTCCCAAATATTTTTCAGGAAAAAAAATGTGTGTACATCCTGGCTGACTGCAAAAGTTTAGATCTTACCAGAGCTGGCTTCTTCACAGTTACTTTATATACCGATTTATTTTAAAGCACCTCGGCTTGTTGAATAGCTAAGGTTTTCCTTGACCTCTCTCGTATATTAGCATTAGATCTATTTCTGTGTGTATCGTCGATCTTTTAAGCACATCATTTAAAACGTTGTGGTCTACTCTATTTGATGTTTGTTTTTTTTTTTTTGCTGCTGTTGTTGTTTTCGTCAGTTCGATCTTCTTCTGTTCATCTTTCTTTGTTTCATTACTGAAACTCTTGTTATGGAAACAATGTATAGACTTTCTAACTGATGTTTTCCACTTCTTTCCGCCATTTCGTAACAATCTGTTGATGTAGGGATTCTTTGAAATCGATCTGAAATTATCCCATGATTCATTACTATAAGTTATTGGAAAAGTCACTTAAACTCTTATGTACTGGCAATGAATAAAAAACGAAAGGTTCCATGCGGGTTGTCTTTGCAAGATAAAATACTTTCTATAAATATTGTCGCTACAGAACGCTTTACTTGGTCATTTAGTTTTGGGATATGATTGTCGATCCTCTCTCCTATCGGCAGGCAATTATTTCGAGGAGAAGACGAGTTTCATTAACAAATGTTCGAACGTTCAAAAGATAACTTAATGAGAGCTGTATTTCTACCTTGGGCCTACTGGTGTACATATGATACGTTTTCAAAGAAAGACAATCCAGTTCAAAGCAATAATACATTAAGAACAAAATTAAATGTGCTCTTATATCTGACAAATACTCTCTCTCTCTCTCTCTCTCTCTCTCTCTCTATATATATATATATATATATATATATATATATATATATATATATATACCAGAGGCCCTGGGTTCGAGTCCGGGTTGAGACTTGATTTTTCACCACCTGTGACATATATATATGCCATCGTTGAAAAATAAAAATAGGTAACAATCCAAACATTCATGATACTGTAGTAAGATAACAAATGTTTTAGAAGTACATTTATGAGGGTGATACGTTTATAATGATATTTTAACACCCACATCCATGTCAATCCTGAAACTGGAGAGAATCTCCGACCTCATTGGTAAGAGTGGATGAAATCATTTGAAATCCTAGATATTCCCCATTACAGAAATACAGATTTTTTCCTTTTAACAGAGATCTTTCAAATCAAATATCAGAGCATGAGTAAAAAAGGTGCCTAGAAATAGACAAGAACTTTTGAATGAATACACATATTCACATATACGTTTGTAATGAGTGAAATAGTATCTTTTGATGTATTTGGGAAAAAATTATTCATAAAAGTTTTGCTCATGAACTTTTGTGAATTTCTATATTGTGATAAAAGCTATGATGAGAAATGGAGTTAGAAAGTCATCTTTTTGTATTTTCTTCTACACACATAACCATATACATGAATACACTCTAGAGATATTTTTTTTTTATATTTTCACTTGTGCTTCGCACTCGTGAAATGAGTTCCATATCTAACTTCAAAACACTGACTATCCTGTTTAAAACATCATTGACAAACAATATGTCTCTCTGCAGTATAATTTTTAGATGTAACTTTGTTGCGAAATTAATTTGAATTAGATAAACAGATACACAGAGATACAGAACTAAAATTGACTCAACACAAAGATAAAAAACATTAGAGAGGACAGGTCATGAATATTGCAAACTGTATATAATTGTTTAATTGTTGATTTGTTGATGTGTCTAACGTACAAGTTGTGTGTGTGTGTGTGTGTGTGTGTGTTAAAATCAGGTATTATGAGTTTGATTAAATATTAAAACAGATTTAAAAGAAATTAATAATTTAACAGAAATTTTACATCTGAGCAACCAATGGTACCAAAAACACTACCGCAATGGCCACACTTCCTCCTAGAATAGCAAGAAGAGAAAACACATCCAAAGTGCTCGCCACAAGCTTCCAATCCACGTCGTATCGATTCTGAGGAGAATCATCGCTGTAAATACTCTCAATTTCATCGATATGGGATCGCGATTTCCTCGCTGATCCTTGTCTCATTGTTTCTAATTCCAGTTCGTCTGCAGCTAATAATGGCGTCTCCTCCTCTTCATCTTCATCGTCGTCATCCCTCCTACAGACTCGACAATTAAGACAAGCAATGAAAAGGGCAAGACACGAGGGTACAGGGTCGTCTTCATCCTTTAGGTAGACGCGGAGAGTGAAGATGGTTATGATGGTAGCAACCGCACTAACGACCACCATCGACATAAGGTAGTAACTCAGGATTGCCATTGGCTCTGATGTCCTAGGCATTCCGTCTGCAATCAAAGTTAAGTAAACTGCAAATGACAAAAATGCTGTGACAGAGTAACCGACCCTCTCTCCACTTTCCAGAGGAAGGACAAAAACCAGAGCATTCAGAATACCCAAGATGATAATTGGCAAGAAAAAATTAACCAAATAGTATGTGGGCTTTCGTGTTAGTGTAATTTCCATTTTGACAAAAGAACCACCATCCAGAGATTCAACAATCAGTTTTGTATTTGAAAGGGTCCATTCGTCTGATGGTGTATAATCTCTCAGATCCAAACTCGTTGCAGTAGGTACAAATACAACTTCTTTGTCACTGTAACCCCAGTGGGTAAAGGTTATGTTACAAGTCTGTTTATCAAAGGGGAAATAGGCCACATCTACAACACATCCAGTTTTTGTCACAACACCGGGTCTCCATTCCATTTTACCGTGATTGTTGTAAGGATCAGTTGCCTCTGTGATCCTGTACATTCGAACATAGTTAGAATCATCCCCAACAGGCACTATGGCTGACGCGGAATTAAACAGAGAGACAGGAGGCTTCCAGACGAATCTATGAGGAATTGCAATTTCTGAGAATTTACCGTGTGCATCACTGTCATAAGAATCATCCACTAACTCATCATACCAAGTCAAAGTCAGTATCCCAATAACCTCTAACGTACCGGCTATTTCATTTAACTCTGTGATTGCTATTAAACTGAAGTTAATGTCTACCTCTATGGTCCTATTGAAATTTTTTCGAGGAAATATCAAATTGTTATAAGTCTTTGTAGACTTTATAAAAGTATCCTCGATGAATGTTGACATTTCTAGTGCCGTGGAAAACACTCGCGGTTTAGGTGTGGTTGTTGTCGGCCCTGTCGTTGTAGATGGCGTAGTGGTCGTCGTCGGGGTAGTGGTGGTGGTTGTAGGCGGCTCGGTGGTGGTGGTGGTCGTGGTCGTTGTAGGTGGTTCAGTTGTTGTGGTGGTGGTCGTTGATTGTGGTTGTGTTGTGGTCGTGGTCGTTGTGGGTGGTAGCGTGGTTGTCGTCGTTGTTGTCGTCGTCGTTGTTGTCGTTGTGGCTGGGTCTGGGGCTGGTGTATCCCCTCCACCACCTCCACCTCCTCCTCCTCCTGGGCAACCAGGGTCCCTATTTTCTGTATTTTTTCCACAGTTTTGACACTGAACGTATTCGAGAGAGAGCAGAAGGCACAAACAGATTAAGCATGTTGCTGTCATTTTTCTAACTCAAAGACTGAGAGTCTCATAGCACGATACGCTTTAAGTATTCTAATCAGATCACTACATCATTTGGCAATAAAGTCTCGGGCATTTAAATTACAGTTGTACTGTAAAGTTTTATCAAAATTTTGTTATTCATAAATAAAATTAATATACGTATAACAAATATTCTAATACTAAAAGCACTTTTTTGAGGGTTTTTTTTATATTTAAAAAAAAAACAATTAAATGGAAAATCAATGAAAAACCACAGAGAAATATATATCTAAGATATTAATTCATATATATACATACATACATACATACATACATATACATATATATATTATATATATATATATATATATATATATATATATATATATATATATATATATATATATATATATATATATATATATATATGCTCCGATTCAAAACACATAAACTTATAGGCAAACCTTTTTATTCGCTTGTCAAAATTCCGGTGAAAAAAAATAAATACAATTGTTGTTATGCTTTTTTACCCCTACAAGTGCAATTGCTGGTCTCTAAGTCAAAAACTTAATTGCATTAATGACAAGAATCGTGAGACTATGACATTTTACCAAATTTTTTGGGTTTATCTTCCCCAAAATGATTATAAGGACACTCTTATCATGTGAGAAAAACAAGTGAAAACATACATTTTTAAAGAAGTATGATAACAACGATATTACAACGATAATTAGAGAGAAAAATGCTACTAAGTATTAATGAAAATGGATGATAAAGCATCCCTTGAAAAAAAAAGTCTTTAAAATAATTTTACATGAATATTCCATAGCTGATGAAAAGCTTATATTCATGAAACACCAAAAAGATAACAAATATTATTGAGGTATTTATAGTTGATAGTATTTATAGGTGATACCGTTTATATATGTGATTTATCTATATAAATGTTATATCTATATGAGAAATAAGTCTTCAATTTTTTTTTTTTTACACAATTCTGATTATTCCAAAGTGTAAGAAAATAAAACAGACATCATGTAATGAGAAAGTTTGAAATCCTAGATCCGCCCCTGTTATATGAAATAAAGAAAGATGTTTTTCTAATTAAATATCTGAGCATGAAGGGGAAACAGTGTACGGAAATAGACAAAGGAAATTGCCAAGTGCTTTCGTAAAGCAACTTTAATAAGTTTCAAGACAGACATAAATTAATTAATATATGTTTAAACTATTCATTGGAACCGAATTAAAGTTTATATTTACATTTCCAACTGATTTCTATGTGATAACACTTTGAAAGTTAAGTGTGTTAATTTTTCGATATTTTCAACTGAAATTGATAGGTCAAGTGCCTAATATAGTGTCAATCTCTTGCGACGGTCTTTGTGTTTGACGTCATTAGACGAGATTATTTGGAAATTAATATGGAATGCTTCGTGTTTAATTTCTGCAACCTGAAAATATTTTTTGCTATGTCGTACAAACGAGACACTTAGTCGTACGTATGAGATAATAAGTCGTAATTACGAGATATCTTGTCGTAATATTTAACGAGTAACTAAATCGTAATAATGAGATACTAAGTCGTACGTATGAGATAATTAGTCGTTATGTAACGAGATATTCAGTGATATGGAGCTTTGTCTTACTGGGAAAGTTAGTCTTTTTTTAGTAACTAGAGGAATTCAAATGTCTTTCAACGTTTCAAAACTCTTGTGCTACTTGCTCCGAAAACGCACCAGCAGGGATTCAATTTATACCAAGTTCTGCATAATTATATCTCAATTAATAGTTCTCCGTATTCTCATTTTATTTCTATTGTTGTTAAATCGAAACACGATTCCTAACATTACCTTTTCCCAATATTTCTTAACTTTTAAAGAACGAGTGCACTTATGGGCCCCGGTAAAATGTGAAAAAATGAAGAATCAAATTAAGCATAATTTTTCTTCTCAGATCATTAATTGATATCTAAACCATAAGATTCAACAAATTTTATCGGTGAAATTCATGAATATACAAAGAGCAAAGCCATACAATGTGGTAGGGGTCAGCCGACATTCATGATTTTCTATAGTAAATCGAGGACGGTCATTCATTTCAAAGCTTTTGTTTACTGTCAGCCTAACGTTGTACAAACTTGTGCGAATGACAAAAAACGCATTATAAATTTATAAAACTTGTGTGAAAGTAGGAAATTTGTACAAGATTAGGATTGTACTTAAAATATTAAAAATGTATGAAAAGTTCAATGTTTTTCCTATAGCAAACGAGAGCTATTTACCTGTATGACCTTTGTTGAACCCACCCTTGGAATAAATTATTTAAAATACCGGTAGTCACGTGAGATCTACCCAGGTAAATATTCCTCAAAGGTGCTCACTGTAAAAGATAGCCACGTTTTGTATCATTACATCGAAGTCGTGCCGCATAGAGAAGTTTGTATGTATTTGATTTTATGAACACGGGAGGGTTAGGAGAGTTTAGTGTCGTTAAAATGTCATCATACATAAAAGCGTCAAATATTTTTAATATTCATGCAAGACAATCATACCGGTAATGAAAGCCATCTAAATACACTTTTTTTCATTTTAAAATTTAAAGGAACTAATGTTAATACTTATTGTATTATTTCAAATGTAAGCGTGCAAATTTCTTAGTTTGATCACTATGGCTACAGGCATCTATACAACTTCATTCGATTTTTTCTCTCAGGTAAAATAGCGCAAGATTATCATTCGGAAAACGCGCCTGTCAATGATCCACCATCAGATTGTTCAAGTGTCCGATTTAAATATCTCCTCCCCTTGATTTAAATAAACGAAACTCAAAATAGGTTCGGCGCGACTTTTCCGGATTTTGGGTATCTATAAGCATTTAAAAATCTTCATTTGTTTTAAATCCATGCTGATTTAGGTAATGTTTTAACGTGATTTTAATTAGAAATATCCAGTTGTGTTTAACTATTACCGAAAAAGAACAATTTGATAATATCTTCTCAAGTAAAACGGCACTGAAAAAGGGCCCATTAAGCATTGCTTAAGCGCACTTGTCCTTTCAATTTTTTAAGCGCCTCGGCTAGTTATATGACAATGGCTTACCTTGACCTCTCTGGTATATTTCCATTAGATCTGTTTCAGTGTGTATCGGCGATCTTTTAAGCACAACCTTTGATTGCTAAGGTCTACTTTATCTGATGATTTTGGTTTTCTTCAGTTCCATCTTCTGTTGATCATCAGGTTTCTTTGTATCGCTTGTTAAATTTCATTACTGAAAATCTTGATACGAAAACAATGTAGAGACTTTCCATCTGTTTTGTAACAATCTGTAGTCTTGTTGAAGTAGGGATTCTTTGAAATCAATCTGAAATCATTTCAAGATTCATTATCTTAAGTGAATGGAATAGGTCACTTAAACTTTCATGCCTCCACAATGAATGAAGGAAAGGTTCCATGCGGGTTGTCTTTGTAGGATAAAATAATTTGTAAGGATATTGTTGCTCCAGAACGCCTGTTTGGTCATCCTGTTTTGGAGAGTGATGGTTGTTTTTCTCTTTTATCTGCCGGGATTTATTTCGTGGAAATTAACAGATGTTTAAACGTGTGAAAGATATTTTAATGACAGGTGGTTTATTTTCTAACTGGACCCAACTGGTGAGCAAATCATACGTTTCCAAAGAAAGACAATCCATATATATATACATATATATACCATTATCGATAAATAGCTGTAGATAACAATCATAACATTCATTATATACTCGTAAGATAACAAATCATTTAGAAGTTTGGAAGGGTGATAAGTTTACAATGATATTTTTTTAACACCATATCTATATCAATTCTGACATTGAAGAAAATCTCAGATCTCATTGAAAAGAATGGATTAAATCATTTGACATCCTGGATACGCCCGCGTTAAAGAAATATAATTTTTTTCCAAAAGAGATCTTTCAAATCAAATATCAGAGTATGGAAATAGTCAAGGGCTCGAGTTCAGTAAGTTTCACGCAATATCTTTTGCTGGCTGAAAATTTTCGCTCACGAACATTATTTTGAATTTGTACATTTTGATGTGCTTTAAAATCTAATGAGAAATGGACTTAGAAAATAGTCTTTTTTGTAATTTTTTTTCCTAACACATAACTATATCATTAACTATTGAGACTTTTTTAAATATTTTCACTTTTTCTTCGCACTCGTGAAATAAATTCCATATCCAACTTCAAAACATTGAATATCCTCTATAAAACATCAATGACAAATAATTTGTCTGTGTACAGTATTATTTTTAAATATAATCCTCTTACGAAATATAAATGAAATGAAATAAAGAGAAATAGAACTTAAATTGACCTTGGCACAAAGATAAAAAAAAAGCCAAAACATGAGGGATGTCAGGGCATAAATAATGCAAACTGTATATGTTTGTTTAACTGTTGACATGTCTAACGTACAACAAATTGTGTGTGTGCTTTTTTTTGTTAAACTAACAAATAATGAGTCTGATTTAATGTCGAAGCAGATTTAACAGAAGCTTAACAATTTAATAGAAATGAACAATTCACATCTGAGCAACCAATGGAACCAAAAACACAACCGCAATGGCCACACTTCCTCCTAGAATAGCAAGAAGAGAAAACACATCCAAAGTGCTCGCCACAAGCTTCCAATCCACGTCGTATCGATTCTGAGGTGAATCATCGCTGTAAATACTCTCAATTTCATCGATATGGGATCGTGATTTTCTCGCTGATCCTTGTCTCATTGTTTCTAATTCCAGTTCGTCTGCAGCTAATAATGGTGTCTCCTCCTCTTCATCATCGTCATCGTCATCCCTCCTGCAGACTCGACAATTAAGACACGCAATGAAGAGGGCAAGACACGGGGGTACAGGGTCGTCTTCATCCTTTAGGTAGACGCGGAGAGTGAAGATGGTTATGATGGTAGCAACCGCACTAACGACCACCATCGACATAAGGTAGTAACTCAGGATTGCCATTGGCTCTGATGTCCTAGGCATTCCGTCTGCAATTAAGGATAAGTAAACTGCAAATGACAAAAATGCTGTGACAGAGTAACCGACCCTCTCTCCACTCTCCAGAGGAAGGACAAAAACCAGAGCATTCAGAATACCCAAGATGATAATTGGCAAGAAAAAATTAACCAAATAGTATGTGGGCTTTCGTGTTAGTGTAATTTCCATTTTGACAAAAGAACCACCATCCAGAGATTCAACAATCAGTTTTGTATTTGAAAGGGTCCATTCGTCTGATGGCGTATAATCTCTCAGATCCAAACTTGATGCAGTAGGTACAAATACAACTTCTTTGTCACTGTAACCCCAGTGGGTAAAGGTTATGTTACAAGTCTGTTTATCAAAGGGGAAATAGGCCACATCTACAACACATCCAGTTTTTGTCACAACACCGGGTCTCCATTCCATTTTACCGTGATTGTTGTAAGGATCAGTTGCCTCTGTGATCCTGTACATTCGAACATAGTTAGAATCATCCCCAACAGGCACTATGGCTGACGCGGAATTAAACAGAGAGACAGGAGGCTTCCAGACGAATCTATGAGGAATAGCAATTTCTGAGAATTTACCGTGTGCATCACTGTCATAAGAATCATCCACTAACTCATCATACCAAGTCAGAGTCAGTATCCCAATAACCTCTAATGTACCGGCTATTTCATTTAATTCTGTGATTGCTATTAAACTGAAATTAATGTCTACCTCTATTGTCTTATTGAAATTATTTCTAGGAAAAATCAAACTGTTGTAAGTCTTTGTGGACTTGATAAAAGTGTCCTCGATGAATGTTGACATTTCTAGCGCCGTGGAAAACACTCGCGGTGGCTCTGTGGTTGTTGTTATCCCTGTTGTGGTGGTTTCTGGTGTAGTGGTGGTCGTGGGTGTGGTTGTTGTCGTCGGTGGTTCTGTTGTAGTCGTTGTTGTTGTTGTTGATTCTGTCGTAGTAGTAGTTGTTGTTGTTGTAGTTGTTGTTGTTTGTGGTGGTGATGGTGTTGAAGTTGTTGTAGATGGGGCTTCCGTTGTATCCTCTCCTCCTCCTCCACCGTTCCACCAACCAGGACAACCTTCTCGATTGTCACTATTTTTGCCACAGTTACGTCTTTGACTCTGGACATAGTCGATAGAGACCAGAAGACAGACACATAAAATAATACATGTGGCCGGCATCTTCTCTGGTCGCTTTTTGAGACGCAGTGCACAGAAACCTTTAATATATGCATTGTAATCAGTCCACTGTGCACTGGTTCCCGGACATTTAAACTACTGATGTACTGTCTATCAATCAAAGTCGGTAGTTCATAAATATGGTTAATATGCGTAAAACAAACCATTCAGCACTTATCGAAGGACATCACAGATTTTTGACCCTGAATTATATATGTTATTAGCTGTCAAAATTTTTATAAATGATATAGAATATGTTTATGAATTATATAAGAATTTAAAAAAAATACATTGGATTGTTCTTCGACGCACCTAGTACTTAAACTTTTATTCATAAGTATAGAATGAAATTGAAATAATCCAGGTGAAAGAAATGTTATTTCTTACCATTTTACTTATTTAGACTTTCGACACCTAATGATGATGTGACAGAACTTTATTTGCAATTAAAGTATGAGAGTAATTTAGTTGGCTTGAAAAAATTGTAGAATTGCCACATTATACCTAAAAAAAGTTGTTTATTGTTAAGGTCGTTAAGCTTTGAGAGGTCACAATATGCTGCAGAAGAATAAATGCCAATTCAAATCAGTTTTTATGAACTGAATGAATATGATGGTGGAAAAAAGTGATATTTGGCTTTATTTCATAGTACCAAATAATGTATACTTTAAAAAAAACATTTTTCTCTATTTTTAGTTCATCAGAGAAAGAAAAGGCTGGGGGAAAAGCTACGATTTATGACATAGCTATAAATTTATGAAACCACAATGAGTTTGACAAAATTGATAAGTATATCTTTTGACAAAAAGAAGAACACGCTCATTCCATATTCTTCAAAGATGTATATTGCATGACATTTTGGAATATATAGATAAAGATAAAACAGGTACTTAATATTAACTTTGAATAAGTCAAAAATGTTGTTTTATTCAAACAAAAATTATTGTACTTTTCCCTGTATAAACGGAATAAGTACTTTCATATATCTTGCTTTTCATGAAGCGATGTCATTCCTTTGTTAAAAAATTATATTGTAAAATTTACCAAGGATTCTTTAAAATTCCACACATCTGTTATAAATGCATTAAATTATTGAGAATCATGGGCAAGCTAATCTTAGAGTTATCATGCCTTAGAAAATCAAAGACAATTGACTGCCCAATTTGATTTTTTTTCTTTAGTCTATTCTGAAGTTTTATGGCATCCCAGACAAGCTGGTCAGAATATTGAAACTTTCATATGAATCATACCAGTGCAAAGTGCTAGAAATAGAGAAGAAATGGTTGGTTCCGGGTAACAAGAGGATCGAAGCAGGGTTGCACAATATCTGGATCCTTATTTTTGTTGGTCATAGACTTCATAATGAAAAGAACATCAGAAGGAAAACCAAGGAATAAGAAGGAATGCGTTGTCCCACTTTTGAAAAATTTCACTAAACTTTACCTTTATTGGCCATAACTTTTAAATATCAAATTGGTGTTAGGGCTTTCATAGTTCACATGTATTCTGATAAGCGCTCTCCTTGGATACAAAATATTTTTTTTCTTTTGACCTAGACGTTGGAGATTACCTACTTTTGAAGGGAAAAAAACCTCAACATTGGCCATAAGTTGTTTTTAATGGTTGGAGTTGGGGCTTTCCTATTTAATATGTGTATTTCTTCCCTTGAGTACCAACACTTTCGCATACAATTTCTACCGTGAAAAGATAAGAAATGCCATTAAGGTAGCCATCAAAATCTAAATCTAATTATGCAGGGATAGACACTAACTTTCACTAGTCCGTAGTGTGTATGTAAGACTTGGATGCCCAAAATATAAAAGAAAGACCACAATTAATTACTTTTTATATCAAAAGCTTAATTTAGAAATAGGATTAAAACGCTGAAAAGTTATTAACATTTTCCTTGTTCTTGTTATTATATATCATTTAAAGAAATAGTTTAAAAAATTATCATTTTCGGTAAAATCCTTTGGATTATTTTGAGCCCCCCGCCCCTTCCAAAAAATAATATTTTAACAGTGATGACTGCAGAACCGAGCTGTAGCACCATATTTGCTACGAATTATACACATCATGATCAGCATAATTTATTCTGTCAGTAAATAAACTAAAACTAATTTTGACGTTTTTCATACTAATTGTTAGGCCATTATGTACACACTGACATTTCTACGGATTTTTCCGTTTACTCGATCATGACAAAGACCACACGGCGGGTGTGACCGGTCCACAGGGGATGCTTACTCCTCCATGGCACCTGATCCTGCCTCTGATGTTTTTTGGAGGTCCATGTTTGCTCCGGTCCTGATTTGTATTGTGTAAATGGACTTTGAGCTTGAATACTGTTCGTTATCTCCATATTAATTTTCATTGTTACCAAAACGTAATTGTCAGACTGAGAGCTTGATTTTTATTATTAGCATGAAAGGAAACAGAATATTGAATGAATGAAGTTTGTTGTCATGAAACAACTTATCCTATCTTAACTTATCTAGTATTCAGTTTATTAGTTCTATTTCTCATAAGAACTAATGTTATATTTCTATCAGAAATATTCACTTGCCCAATCGGACGTTTTACTTGCCCGGGTAATCGGACGACTGTAAAATATCTATCTCTGTTATGACAAGGTGAATCCTATAGTACTGAAATGAAATAAAATAGTAAGTTAATTAACCATTATCCCACTATAATCTTCTTTACAGCACCCGAAGCAATGTTTGAAAGTGTCATACCGGTTAAAGTAATTGGCGAACTATCGATGTAAGTTTTTGTTTGCAGAGTCTCTGAAAATCGATGTGAGCATTTCGCTATTCATGTATATCCAATAGGTTTTATGAAGACGAAATTCCAAACAACCTGTATTAAAATATTGATTCAGCAGTGCCAATTGTTAGTTTCATTTGGTTAGAAGCGGAGAGTTGGGTTAGATCCTTATGATGTAGGATGGTTACATTTATTACGGAACATGGTTCATTTGGATGGCTTATTACTCTTTCTTATATGTTTCTTCATCAGAGGTAAATATTTTTTTTTAATTAACTGTTCCTGTAAAATTTTCATCCAATTATTTTTTTAAAGTTGAATTGGTTGCTTGAATAAATAAATGACATTTGCCATGAAAACACGATTTTTAGAAACACTAAAATTCAAATTAGAAAAAAAACTAAAAATCACAAACGAAAAATAAAACGGAATTTCAAGTTAATGATAGAAGCATTGATGGTGGTCAGATTTTAAGAACTTTTATTTATAGGCTGAGCAAAGAATGATGAATTTCATGGTGTAAAACAGATATTTGTCAATGAATGCTCTGCAAGGTAGCTAACTTTGGATGGACTGAATATAGTGTGGGCAACAACGCTCATCGATGCTTAAGTTTTCAAATCCGCACAAATGTGTTTAAAAGTGACTTAATCCCACGAAAAGTTGATCAGGAGGTATATTATTCATCCTTTTTTTAAACTACACACAATGTTAAGTCATTTTTTTAAGTCCCCTGGGCCATTTATTCCTTCTGATAGCAGACAGAAGGCGCTCTCAAATAAGTCATCATACAGCAGACAAAAAATTCTCTTGAAAATCGACCAAACCTCAAACTTCTTAAAACTCATCTATACAGAAAGGTTTGGTATAACATCGTATAACCCATTTATTTTATAGAAATATAAAACATTTATTCGGGTTTCACTATATTCTTAAACCCAAAAGGTTTTGTCAGATATATACTATTCCTACAACATATACACTTGTATCTATATGAATCTGACAAAGGGTGTACAAGCTAACTATAATATATAATGAATACAATCAGTTGTAGCAGCATTTAGTGGAAAAGTGGCTTTGACTAAAAATTTCCATAAGTTGCATAATTCTTTCAAACGTTTTGAACAGCAAATTAATTAATTTAAACATACTTGGACTCTGGTAAAAACCATTTTTTTAAATATATATTTTTCTTATATCAGAGTAAAATAGACAAATAAGTAATCTTTTGTGTCATTATGAGCACATAACCAACAGGCTCTCTATATAGCTGAGAAAACATTTCCATGACGACTCACATCAGTATTCAACCTATGGTTACATGTAGGTTAACGTGCAGGTCCATGACATTGCGCATTACTGTTTCTGTGATCGCAAAGGATATGAACTGTATGAATCATCTTGAGTTCTTGAAGTTACAAGGCAATGCTAAGAATCATTTAAAAATTACTGGAATTATAGAGATGGGAAAGTTATTGCTGAAGATTTTTTCTGTGGTATTTATACAATTCTATAGAATGCAGGAACATGCGCAAAAAGGCTGAAACAGAAAAGATAATATTACAGAGTTTTATGCAGATGTGATTGTCTGGACAGATATCACAAGTTGTAGGTTGCAGATGTGATTGTCTGGATACCAAGTATCACCAGTTGTAGGTTACAGGTGTGATCGCCTGGATACCAAGTATCACCGGATGTAGGTTACAGGTGTGATTGTCTGGATACCAAATATAACCAGTTGTTGGTTACAGGTGTGATTGTCTGGATACCAAATATAACCAGTTGTAGGTTACAGATACAAATTTTGATGCACCAGATGCGCATTTCGACAAATTATGTCTCTTCAGTGGTGCTCAAGCCGAAACGTTGGAAATCCAAAATATTTAATTAAAAAAGACTTTGAAGAGATGAAAAAAGGTACCAAAGACTGGAGCCAAATAGTCGAAAGATCAGCGCTATGCATGAGGGAGATAATCCTTAATTTTGAAATAAATTTCTAAATTTTACTACTACAATTAAATATATATCCGTATTTTCAAGCTAGTACCGAAATACTTACATGTAGCTACTGGGCTGTAGAGACCCTTGGGGACAAACGGTCCACCAGCAGAGGCCTCGACCCAGGGGTCATAATGGAAATCATATACGGTACCGGTGTGATTGTCTGGATACCAAATATCACCAGTTGTAGGTTACAGATTTGACTGGACACCAAATAACATCAGTTGTAGGTTACAGGTGTGATTGTCTGGATACGAAATATCACCAGTTGTAGGTTACAGGTGTGAATTGATATCAAATATCACCAGTTGTAGGTTATAGATGTGACTGGACACCAAATAACATCAGTTGTAGGTTACAGGTGTGATTGTCTGGATACGAAATATCAAGAGTTGTAGGTTACAGGTGTGAATTGATATCAAATATCACCAGTTGCAGGTTATAGGTGTGATTGTCTGGATATCAAATATCACCAGTTGTAGGTTATAGATGTGATTGGACACCAAGTATCACCTGTTGTAGGTTACAGGTGTGAATTGATACCAAATGTCGGTAAATGGACACCAAATAACATCAGCTGTAGGTCACAAGTGTGAATTGATACCATCTATCACCAGCTGTAGGTTACAGATGTGATTGGACACTTAATAACATCAGTTGTAGGTTGTTGGATTTTTCACATGGAATAGATTGTAAATATGTACTAGATTACTTTATGAAAGAAGACAAATAAAATATCCTTAGACCCGGGGTATATATTCGGGTGAGGATCCTGTCCACAAGCAGTGGAAGATTGTACGAACATTAAAAATCACTGACACAATATTCGGGCTTAGAGATTCTTAATCTGTGTTTTATACGTGTAACTCAAAGAAGAAATTGAGCCACTGATTTTGTGATACGGTGTACCATTTCATAAAAAGTTCACATGTAGGCAATAAAATGCACTTACTTGGATGCGGCTGTGTTCCAGAGGTTTATTACTTGATATATTGTGTAGACCTGTTTCAGTAGAGAAAAGATGTTTTACATTATTTTTCAAAAAATTGGTTGTTTGTGAAATTATTTATCTTGAATTCTAGTGCTGGGTATACAAAAACGTTTGATATGTATAATTATATGAATAGAATATGATTATAAAACACGAAAGTTTAAAATTAAACCGCTTTTTATTGCAGAGTCTAGATGCACAGAGTTTGAGTACTTCCAGACTAAGGTCCAGGAGAAAGATGCCTTGACAGACTGCCAGAGCAGAGGACAGTACCTCGCCATCATTAACAGCCAGGAAAAATTTGACCAAGTGTATAGCCTCCTAACTAACGGCGGAAGGTATATGTATATATGTAAACAATGTTATACAGTTAAAGTATATCATTGAAGGAGTTAGCAAGATTCCAGTTCCCCAAGGCCAGGACTATTTCCCTCGGCTTCGCCTCGGGAAATAGTCCTGGTCGAGGGGAACTCGAATCTTGCTAACTCCCGCAATGATATACTTTTAACTGTTTTATTACACGGAGATAAGTCCATTCACATAGCATACCAATGTAAAAGTAAAATCTAGAGGATTACGGATAACTGGGAATTAGCTCACATGACTAACGCACGGGGATTAATCCATTCATAACGATTTGTAGGGAATTAGTCACATTTAACGATCTAATGTTATATAGGAAAAAAATCAGTAGAGGTATAATAAAACAACCTATTGTAATGTTGAAAATGATACAATGAAATTCTATAGGTCTGAAAGAAACACCCTTCAGAATACGATTTCAATCATTTGTCAAAAAAAAAAAAAAAAAAAAAAATGAAAACACTGTTTAAAGTACTTTTTTTTTACTTACATACACACAAGTTAGCGTCTTTGTTGTTTTTCTTTTTTCCATTGCTTTTTTTTTTTAGTTTCATTTTCCTTTAAATTACTTCCTTCAATGGGGAGAAATAAAAGGCATTGGACCACATTCGACGCATGCGCAGTATTTACCATGCTGAGCTCCTAAAATCCCCTGATTTCAACAACTGAAAAAAGCAAACCGAAGATTTGGGGTTTGGTAAAAAAAAAGGGATAATGTGAATGTTTTAATCAAAATTCCACCATTCAATTTGATTTTATATGAATATATTTCAGTAATACACATTTTAATGGGGTCCATGTAATATTCTTGAAGTCGAAGTTTAAATCTAAGCTAAACGACTAAACCTCAAGTGATTGTTTTGCAGCAATCCCCCTCCCACCCCTATCTTTGTATGGTTACCATGCTAAATAAGAAGAAAAAAGTTAGGAAATATTAATGGTGAGAAAGTATTTCACTCTGCTTATTTTTGAACATGTGACTGTGGTTCAAAATAGAGGTGATGAATTAAAATTTGAGTTTTTTTAAAGGAAATTTTCATTTATTTCGATATTTGCGTCGAAATTTCGCATTTGGGTGAATTAAAAAAAAATGACCAAACGCATATTTATCAACCCACACTAAAAATACACGCAATGAAAATAGATTTCAATGTCTCAGCATATGTCTTTAGATAGTGTCTAAATACCTGCCAAATATCTCGTTGATATCTCAATTAACAAAAAAGTTATGCCCAAAAATGATGCTAAAATTGTCAGGAGTGTAACACCTTTTTGTGACATTTTGAAATTTCAATATTTTTTGGAGATCTGTGAAATAAATAATAATAATGCTTTATGTTGAAAATAAAGACTTTCCTGATAATATTCAAAGTATTGAGCTTTAAATGTGGGCAGTAGTAACTTTTGTTTAATCAAGTTGTTGTCATGGCTGATGTTTAAAAAAATGTCCTACCATGTCAGAAGTGCAACAGAAAAAATGTAGTGTTGCCAAAAAACATCAATTGTAAAATTCTGAAAGAAAATTAAGACAAAAAAGAATTTTCAAAGTGTAAAACAACAACTGATAGACATTTTAAAACTTAAAAATGTTATATAAATCACAAGCAGCATTAATTTGAGTCAAGTATATGTGCATACCCAATAATGTCAGGAGTGCAACATTTGATGTTTTGCTCCCAAGCATGAAAAAACTATTACCTTTATATGATTTTCTGATTTTTATTTTGGAAAAGAAAGACACAAAGAACATTTTTACCAAATAGATTTATCAATTACAGGATCTGTCTGTGCTTCAGATCAATATTTCTATGGTCAGGAGTGCAACACATTTTTTTAAAGATTCAAGTTGTGTGACAAAAACACTTCTATTCATGCTTAGACTTATTCATTAATTAATAATGATCTTTTTGTATAATTTAATGCTAAATTATTGACAGTTTTATTATTAAAATCCTTCCTTTTTCAATTTTATCAATTCAGATGTGTTTTTATCTTTTTTGTGATTTTTTTAATGAATGTTAAAAATAAACACACTAAAACATTGTCATAAAATTCAAGTAATTCTTCCTAAACTTCACTGAAACAACAGAACAAGTTCTTATGTAATTTTCACTTCACAATTCTACTTTAAAGGTCCCAATACTTTTGGTCAGGAGTGCAACAAATATGTTAGAATTATAAATCCTCCAATAAGAATAAAAATAAAGAAAAAATGATGAGTAGAATTTTTCTGGTGGGTTACTGTGTTTGTCCTCTAAAGGAAAATATGCTATAAAATATATTTTATCTTCTAAATATACATTTAAGCTAGCTTTTTGGCATAAATAGGGAATAATTCCAGATAAAATGCGAATTTTAAATACTTTCATCTGTTTTAATTATGAAGTATTGGACTACAAACATTGTACAGTTTCATTACCACTTGATGTTGCCAACACTTTATGAATTTTTGTGTTCTACGATTTTAATTTTAAATTTTACTGCAGTCAGGAGTGCAACAAAACTGCTTTATAATTACCAATGCTTTTTAATTATCTTTACTAAAAAAATGAGTTGAAAAAAATGTTTGATACTATTTGATGTTCAAAACACTATCAACAAATTACAGAAATTTTCTAGTCAATTCAGGGAATAGTTTTCATCATTTCACATATAGTTTTATATACAATTTATGTATATTACACTTTGCAAATAATCATGTGTTAAGGTCTTCAAAATATGAAAAACCTGCCGTAAACGATGAAAAATATCAAAACGAAAAATTAATTTACAAAGAAAGAATGGGTTATTGTGTGTAATAATTTTTAAAACAATGTTAAATAAAATACATATCAGATGTCAGGAGTGCAACACAATAATGTAACATAGGGTCACTTCAAAATCTAGTATTTTTTGTAAGAGAACTCGTATATAAAAATTCTTTTTTGGCTTAGATTTAAAGAATTGGCTTGAACGGACAAAAAAAGTGAAATTTGGGGAATTTTATTGCTTCATATTTTTTTCTTATTAAAACTTTTCAAACCAGAATTGAAAAAATAATGTAAAATAACAATCAAAAAAGCCAATTTTTTGTCACACATACAAGAGAAGATACTCAATCAAGGTCTAGATTTGATCATTTATACCCCTTTTACCATTTTGAAGCATAAAAAACTATAATTTCTTGTGATTATGTATTTTAGAAAGTCTTTTAAGGTGTAATGATATTTTCTTTTTTCAAAAGAAATTTTACTAATAAAAATTCTGAAACTTTTTAATCCAATTGTCTATTCTATTGCCACTTCAGGATTTTAAACTAGAATGCATGTGCAATATGATGATATAAGTGAAAAATATGTTAGAAGTAGATGAATTTTTGCAAAAAAATTCAGTTTGGTGGTCATTTTTTTTTAATTCACCCATATAACACAATCAATCACATCGGGTAAAAATTATGAATATTTTTTTATTGATTCCTCCCGGCCTTCAATGTTCAATCTTCAAATTAAAACTTGCTGAAAGACAACACCTTGTGTTGATCCCTTTTTTAAAAAATCTAATGATAAGCACATTTTTATAGAGGAAGTTCTGTCCATGCTCAGATATTGGCTTTGATTTTATATATAGCTGGAGATATCGGAATAAACTGCATTTTAATTGTCAATTGAATTTTCATTTTCTTCCATAAGATCCGAGTTTGAATTTTAGCGATTTTCAAAATCAGCACACTTTGGCAAAGAGGTTAGGCAAAATTTTCAAGCAAAATATTTTTTCTTTATCAAAAAATACCCAACGTTACGGACCATACGACTTTTTTATGCAACACACTGGAAGTCTTTCTGCTGATTCTACCCTCATTATTTCACTCCAATCATTTACGATGCAGATTGGTTCTCCTGCATGAATGTCTTGGGAAAAAAAAACACACAACTATTAAAATTTAATCTTCTGTTTGTAGAGAAATGCCCTCTGCTCCAGTTTACATAGGAATGAAGTATAATACTGCTCTCAAGCGGCACGAATGGGTGGATGGGACACCTGTATCCTGGGTCAACTGGTTTGTCAATGAACCATTCAATGTGGACACGCGTCACTGCGTCAGACTCGACCTCGACTCAAATCTTAAGTTCCGCACGACGGATTGCACGTACCAACATCACTACGTGTGTTCCACTGATGGTATGTAGCAATGTTGATTGAATTTATGTATTCTTTAATTGAGATACTTTGCAAATTAACAAGACTCTTGTGTAAAGATGTGGCATGATATGCAAGTAAAACTGTGATTTATATTTGTTAAAAAAAATAGAGAATCAATTAAATGTCTTCAAATTATTAATTATCTTATGAAATCCTAAACTCTGACCGGTATTTGCAATCTAAAGATTGGGTATGTGTAGTCATAATCCGACAGGAGTTAGACATTCCTCGTAGATATTCAAAAGTAACAAATTCGAAATATTAAACAAGATTAATCAACAAAAAAATTTAATTGTAAAAAAAAGACCCTTTAAAAGCTTTGCTTATATGGAATTCCATATACGACAGCCACCTGCCCCTGATGACTGCATTTGCTTATGGATATTATGTATCACCCATATACTGCCACTGCCAGCTGCTTACTGCCAATGGCTCACTGCTTACTGCCACTGTTTATAGATGATATTGACTATTTTGTTATGTTTGATATATTTAATACACATGTTTTAGTAAACTATATGATAGCAAGAATAACACAATAATCATAAAGATTGGCGGATTCAGGAATTTTTAAACAGTGAAGGCGAGCTAAAGGAGTAAATCGGAGAAAGGGGTATTTCCTCTTAAAACCAAAACATCTAATTCCCACTTTCCTTGCAGGCAAATAATTCCATAGCTTTTTTGAGAGAAGAGATTAAAAGCATATGTAACGCAGAAAATGGGGGAGGGTCTATATCAGTTGGGGTGACCATTCTTACATATGTAAGTGTGTGTGTGTGTGTGGGGGGGGGGGGGGGTCACAAACGACAACAGAACAAACTTTTAGCAGGATCTTGGGTAACATTTATTGGTATATGTACTTGTATTTATACCAGAAATACTACTGAAAAATCATAATAATTTTTGTCTAAGGTAATCTGTAGCAATATATCTAGTGTTTCTTTTTACCCCTATTAATTTGTGAATTTTTTTAAGTATGTCTAATTTAAATCTACTTAATGGCTATTGTCAGGCCTGTAGAACCATTGGTGATGATGGTGAGTGTCTCCAATAAATTGCCAACATATACGATACAGTTGTGCTCCCTCAATAATGACGTCTGTGACCTTATTGATTACTTGTCGAGGGATTTCTATTTGGTCCCCCCAACACACACACACACACACTGAAATTGCTTCTTTGCCTAAAAACAAACTATTTTTTTCATAGAGTAAAATACCTCGTTATGCTTTATAGAGTATTGGGCAAAAATGCTATAAGATTTCAGAAATCATTTTACTCATGGCAAAAGAATTTGTGATTTTTCCTTAGTGTTTCTAATATATTTCTTATCGGCTAGGGCTAGTTTTATCACCCTTATTTTGCTTGTCATGAAATATTCGAGTTCGTTCCTGTGTTTTCAACATTCCTTCTCCTTCCCAGTATAGAAATTCTGGATCCGCCTCTTTTTCACTGTAGTGATATTGTTACCTTCAAGCATGCGTGTTAAGAATAAGACAATAGGTTATAAGCAGTGGAAGTAAGCAGTTGGCAGAAAGCAGTTGGATGTCATTATGGAATTCCTGTAGAGTATTCAGTTTTGATCCTGAATCGAAACCCAATTCCTGTAGGATAATTCAATGCCTTACATTAAATTTCTCAGAGTAATAGAACATTAATATGTACTAAACAAGACGACATAGGTGAGTGTTAAGGCCCACAAGCCTCATGTTCTAACTGTCATTGATTCATAACGTGGGGATGATTTTTCAGTTTGATTTGGATCGTAAAATAAATATGTTTAGATACCACAGGGTATTTCTTGTCTATTGGAGATTCAATAACATATATCTCCTGCCGTGTACCATTTTGCTAGAAACCTAGATTGCATCAATGTCTAGAAACTGAATTTTATCATTGATTGCATTATCCTACTATGAACTAAAAGAAAATCAATCTTCTCTTATTTTAAAACCTGTTTAGTGCGACACTTGAACATATCCAGTGGCTTAATACATTCCGATGTTACACAACACATTCTAACAACTTGGAAAAATTCATCTTTTTTTTTTAAATTCAGGACAAACCATGATCTAACGTAAAGGGACGCCTGTGGCCATAATGGAAAATGTCAAACATGGGGTTTTATTTTTCCATCTAATATCAGAGTATTATATAGATGCCTTTAAAATATTAGAAGATCAAGTCTATATCTAATACATAAAGAGTTGATGACATTTTCAAATAGGGTTCTTTTTTCATTATCACGAAAGAAAACAAACGTTACAAAAAAACTCATTTACATAACTACGTTTTCCGATAGGGAAAATACTTTGCACACAGACGTATTTTTTTCTACTTAACCAAAATAATGTTGAGATAATTACAAAAATTTAAAACCGTAGATCTCACAGGAAAATGAAAATAAAATCAATTGAAATTCAGCTTGACAACAACCTTGTCAGCGCTAGCAACCTTAGAACCACAACACTGCGGGAAAATAAACAGAACTATATTTTTAAGGAATAGAGTTTTCAGTTTTAATGCAACCAAAAAGCGTAAACGGCAGTTTCACCTAATAATATTCGTTGTCAGGTGTCACAAGTGGTTATTCGAAGTCTTTCTACAACAAATATTAAAATGAAATTTTTGTTCACCAACATGCTCATATAATGCATGATATCTTTATTTATTTGAATTTGCAATGAGAAAGCAAAAATCAATGATGGTGTCACTTAAAATATGTTCTTACTGGCTTATTATTTCAGTGTGTCAAGATCTTTTGAAATATTTCAGAACTCGGGATTATGAAACGGACTTTGACTTAAGTCAAAATTTCCATCATCTGTAAAATATGTGTTACTTGTGAACAGAAACTCAATATTTCTGACAACAGTATTTTGATGACGCAGTGTTGAAAAGCATTTTTTTAATTTCAAAATATTCTTACTCAATCTAAAAGCAAATTGAATCACATTAGCCATACATCTGACATAGGGATCATTTCTTCTTTGATTCCAAATGACTACTGCCTGTATAATATACCGATCATGACAGAAGTGTTTTATTCCAGCAACATTCTTATAATTGTGTAGGATAAGAAGTATTAAAAACTGTGTCATATGATTCAGTTTTATTTGTAGTTTTTCAATAAATTTTTGAAGAAAAAATAATAATCTTTTTTCACAAGCAAGAATAAAATAATGATAATTAATCAATCAAAGAGTCTCCATTTCATCATAGGGCGCTGTAACGGTGGCGGTGCTTAGTGTGTCGGTTGTGTTCTGAAAACCACATCACAGTGGATACAATTTATCGGTTAAACATGAATCAGACAATACAACGTGTCCTTATGTTGTTGATCTATAGAACAATATTCACGCCTTCAGCTAGAAGTCTTAATTCCCACGAGATTTGTGTTCTTGTTCATTAACTGACTGTACCAATTAATTTGTAACAAAATATTATATAAGTTACCTCTTGAGGCAAAAACCTCAACTGTTTCAATTCAGGTTGCTACCGTCTATTGAAAAAAGGGAGATATTATTCTTTTAAATTAGGTGTTCTACTTTTAACCAAAATTGATCACCACTAATAGTTACTTAATAGACCATGGTTATTTTTACACCTTTTTCAATTTAGCACAAAGGCGAATAGGAGCACCCGAGACAAAAGTCGATGCCATTATAAAAATATAGGGTGTAGGATGGTATTGATGAAACTGTACTTCTATGCAGGTACTAATGGTGTCCCAGTGAAAATTATCTTTCAAAGATCATATTTTCTTTGCTATCGTGATTGTGAAAGATTTTTTTTTTATTTACTAGAGGACAAAATTATATTAATTTTGAATAGATTACGAGGGTACGCCACAGTCCCCCTGATGCGTTAAAACCAAACGTCATGTAACTTCCATTTATCAACCTTCGTAGCCTGTACTTTGATAATGGTGATTTTTCATATCAAATTATCAAGTTTTAACATCATTTAAAACCGTACAATGAAGAAGATACGGAAAGTAACGAACACGGAGGGACGTAGGTACATATAACTGTACGAAACTTCGAGTGCAATTTCTACAAAATGTCAACTGCAGAACACTAGCAAATAAAGGAAAATTCAAACCAACTAGTATACATGTGGTGTTTGAAAGTCTTCATTAGTATATCTCTACTGATTTTTTTCACCAAGTAATAGCAAATCGATATATTTTGCTAATCCTTGAAAATCACCTTTAAAAGACTGATTTCCTGCAAAAAGGTGTGTCAGTTTGATGAACAGATACACACGTATTTGGAACACCTCACAATTTCTTTTAATCACAGGAAAAGGTTCAATATGTTCCAAATAAAATCACGAATATTCATTAAAGTTACATTTAAGGAGGCATGACCTAAAAATCAGCATATTGCTCGCAGATTCATGTATTCTGTAGATAATTGATTCAAATGCAATGCCTTTCTATTGAATATATTCGTTTGTATAGATTAAAGTTATAACTGATGTTTCCATTGCAGATATCATAAAAACCTCATCGCAAAATTTAACGAGTAAAATGGTCTAATTTTTTTATCGGTATAATAAAACAGTTAAAGTATATCATTGAGAGAGTCAGCAAGATTCCATTTCCCCTCGAGCAAGCCTCGGGAAATAGGCTTGCTCTTTGGGAACTGGAATCTTCCTGACTCCTTCAATGATCTACTTTAATCGTATAACAAGATTTTTTAAAACACATTTCGTACTTGCTTTAAACCTTCCTAGATATTTTATATCTAAAAGTCATAGAAGGTTTTGCAGGTGATATCCATTTTCACACCTTTTCCTAAGATTAAAGACGTTCATTAATAAAAGATTATTTTTTTTTGTACAGGATCTACAGTGACTGCTGTACATACTACGGTAAGATATATATAGCAAAAACTAAGTGATGTACATTTTAATGTTCTGCCATAATTGTTATCTGTTTTTAAATTCTTCCATTGTTCTTAAATATCTTGGCTTCCTTCTACACTGAACTACTGAATCGTTTTAGCTTGCATATAGCAACATCGGTGGCCGAGGCTATGGATTCTTTACTTTGAAAATACCTGAGCAGAAAAGAGTACTAAATATTACAAATGCATCACTTGTGACCTTCACCTTTTCTTTTACTTTGACCTTTCTTTTTTATTACCTCACCTGAGCCGAAGGCTCAAGTGAGCTTTTCTGATCAAAATTTGTCCGTTGTCTGTCGGCGTCGTTGTTGTCGTAAACTTTTCACATTTTCATCTTCTTCTCCAGAACTACTGGGCCAATTTCAATCAAACTTGGCACAAAGTATCCTTGGGTGAAGGGGATTCAAGTTTGTTTAAATGAAGGGCCACGCCCTCCTCCAAGGGGAGATAATTACGAAATAGCAAAAAATTAATGGCATTATTGAAAAATCTTCTCAAGAAACAATGGGCCAGGAAAGATGAAACTCACGTGGAATTATTGTCAGGTAGTGTAGATTCAAATTTGTTCAAATCATGACCCCCGGGGGTAGGGTGGGGCCACAATGGACGATCAAACTTTTACATAGGTGTACATAGGAAAAATCTTCAAAAATCTTCTTCTCAAGAACAGCAAAGCAGTGATTGGTAATATTTATGTGGAAGCATCCTCAGGTGGTGTGGGTTCAACTTTGTTCAGATCATGACTCCCGGGGGTAGGGTGGGGCCACAATGGACGATCAAAGTTTTACATAGGTGTATATAGGAAAAATCTTCAAAAATCTTCTTCTCAAAAACAGCAAAGCAATGATTGGTAATATTTATATGGAAGCATCCTCAGGTGGTGTGTGTTCAACTTTGTTCAGATCATGACCCCCGGGGGTAGGGTGGGGCCACAATGGACAATGAAAGTTTAACATAGGACTATATAGGAAAAATCTTCAAAAATTTTCTTCTCAAGAACAGCAAAGTCATGATTGGTCATATTTATGTGGAAGCATCCTCAGATGGTGCAGATTCAACTTTGTTCAAATCATGATCCCCGGTGGTAGGGTGGGGCCACAATGGACGATCAAAGTTTTACAAAGGAATATATAGGAAAAATCTTCAAAAACTTCTTCTCAAGAACAGCAAAGCTATGATTGGTCATATTTATATGGAAGCATCCTCAGGTGGTGTAGATTCAAGTTTGTTCAAATCATGACCCCCGGGGTAGAGTGGGGCCAAAATGGACGATCAAAGTGTAACATAGGTGTACAAAGGAAATATCTTCAAAAATCTTCTTCTCAAGAACAGCAAAGCTATGATTGGTTATATTTATGTGGAAGCATCGTCAGGTTGTGTAGATTCAAGTTTGTTCAAATCATGACCTCCGGGGGTACGGTGGGGCCACATTGAACGATCAAAGTTTTACATAGGAATATATAGGAAAAATCTTTAAAAATCTTCTCAAGAACAGCAAAGCCACGGTTTGTCATATTTATATGGAAGCATCCTCAGATAGTGTAGATTCAAGTTTGTTCAAATCATGACCTCCAGGGGTAGGGTGGGGCCACAATGAAAGTTCAAACTTGTAGAGAAAAAAGTCACAGTTAGTCAAAAAATTATGTAAGCATCCTTAGTTAGTGTAGATTCAAGTTTGTTCAAATCATGACCCCACCCCACTCACTTTTAGGGGTAGGTAAGGACCACTTATGCATTTAAGCTTTTCAATACTAAACTGATTTTTCCTTTTTTCCTAGCCACAGTGCTCAGATGAGCGTTGTGGCCCCTGGGCCTCTTGTCTTTATTTTTTCTGTCTGGCTTATTAATTTAAAACATCATCAAGGATTCTTTAACATTGACACCCATCAGTAAGAGTCACTAACTGCATCAAATTTTTAAACTTAAGTTTTCAAATGACCTTGAAACCGTTTATCTTCGTTTTGTGTTCGGCTAACTAGTTTTGCATGAATTGTGTGACCTAGAAGTACATTTTTGTACCTGTATTTTAGGGCTTCTCGCTTAACTTTTTAAGACCTTCCTTTGGATTCCAACAACTTTGACCCTTTGACCTTGACCTTGGAATTTGACCTACTTTTGAAAAACTTTAACCTTGGCCATAACTTATAAACAGTTCACGCTAGGGCTTTCATACTTCACATATGTAATCCTTGTGACAAGCCCTTCCTTTGGATACCAACAACTTTGACCCTTTGACCTTGGCCTTGGAGTTTGACCTACTTTTGGAAAACTTTAACCTTGGACACAACTTTTGAAAAGTTGTTGCTAGGGCTTTCATATTTAACATGTTTTTCCTTCTGAGAAGACCTTCTTTTGGATACCAACAATTGTAATCCATTGACCTTGACCTTGGAGTTTGACCTACTTTTAAAAAAATTCAACCTTGGTCATAACTTTTGAACGATTGGTGCTTCAGCTTTCATATTTCACCTAAGAAATAATAAAAGTTAAAAAAAAAAAAAAATAACGTGAGATTTGTTTTTGTCTTATTCTGTGTATCATGTTTCAAATCTGAAAAATTGTTTTTTTTAAGTTATTTTGACCTTTGTCTTCAACCATGTTCGGGTTTTTTTTTTAATCTCAGTAAATTATGTAGGTCTTGGAAGTTATGTAGGTCTTGTTCGCGTAACGACTTTCTGTGATAAATTCTGTTCATACCCAAACTGAGTGCTTGACCTTAGACTAGCTTTACTTTGACCTTCACCTTACAGATACGGATTTTGCAATGCAAAGCTATCCATCTGAGGCCCATTCATTTCCTACTGACATATTTCTATTTCTACAGTTTTCATATTATATGAGGTGATTTTGGCGTGTCGAAAAGTTTCCTTTTTTGGCGGATCAAAAAAAAAATGCCAAAAATTATAGCGCCGACATTTCCATTAAGTGGATACAGAGTTTTCAACAATGCATTACAAAGATCCGTCAAAATATAAACTACTTTTTTTTTTAATCAAATTCAAAAAGAAAAAAGAAAAAAAAATCCGAAATTACCCAATATATGTATTTTTACAACTTTGTTGTGTACAGTAATGCATGTTTTTACTACATTTGCTATCATTTAATTGGTAAACTATACATAAAATTTGTAAGTTGACTGTGTAGCGCCGTTTTTAGAGCATTTTGTTCTCGGGATGTAAGGAGATTATCCTTACATTGCTGGTTCGAATTTCATTGTGGGACGTACTTGCCCGTCTTGGAGACCGATCCTAAAGCAATATATATAATATATTGTATATATGCTACGTAATGTATTAAATCAGATTCAAGTAAAATTAAACAGCATCAATTTACCTTTACAGAAAAGACAAACATCAAATGATGTAATGATTGTTGGACTCTCAGTGGGGTTTGGTGTGTCTGCGGCTGTGATAGCAATCTGTTGTTTGATGTGTTACTGTTGCTGCAGCTCACGTGATCAGCCAAAGCGCCCTCTGCTTCTTCACCACAACTGCCCTCCAAAACCAAGGGCTGTAGTAGGGAGTTTGCGCAGAAAGGAACCAGCGCCTTCCGTTTACTACAGTAAACAGTCATCAGGCAGAAACAGCAATAACACTTCTCGAACCGGAAGTAGCAAGTTAGATGATGATGATGATTTGGACAGTGTTGTGATAAATCCGTCCGATAGACGTACATCAGTTAACAGCGGGGGCATGAGTGACTATCAACGCAGCAGTGCTTCTCCGCGTGACACTAACGACATTTTACACTATATATAGTCTTATTTGCTAACGTATAGATACAAAGACATAATTAAAACATCGATTTATAACTCAAGGTAAACATGAAATCTGAACAATTGCCATTTAACATTATCAAGATTTATAAACGAAAGTTTAAAGAGTTGCACAATTTTCAGTGTCAGCCTTTGTACCGATTGCTGCAGTGCAGTGTTGTTCTTTGCCCTAGGGCAAATATAGTCATTATTTTTTTATTTTAATTTAGAGGGCATAATTTATAATACCGATTCATCTACTTCTCATAGAAAATATCAAAGCTATAGCTGCTGGTTCCACATACATGTAACAATCTTCAAAGTACTTCAATAATGAATGAGATGCAGTATATATAAAAAGTATTCGCCAGCAGAATATTGATACGACATTTAAGCATTAAATCCAATCATGGTTCAACATTTGTGAGAAACATAAATTTCGGACCTATGCATTTTGTTTGAATTCAGTGAGTTATTGTATGTTTTGGTTCAAGACTTTTTTTATAGCTTGTATTGGACATGATGTTTTAAGTTTGCTCTCTCTTATAATGCAGATGTATATTGTTGTATTGATGCTGTTATTTAAAGTCTGAATTAAGATTTATTGTTAGATATTCATTAAAGTCTATACTTATTTAGAGTATTCTTGTTTTCTTTGTTTATAAATAAAGATAGATCCTGCTTTCCATAAAAGGTGCTATTAAATATGTACAAGTAAAACACTCTCTCCGAAAACCTGTTGAACTCATTTTCGTACAAGTAAGTAAAAAAAAAAAGAATTCATATTTTTGGCGTTATAACGTAAAGTATTTGGAATATAACGCAGTAACTTTTTAATTTCAATAAAATATAATTTCACGGTATATCGCAAAAATTGGATTATTATGTGAGTTACACGTTGATTTCGCGTTGGAAAAAAATCCTACAAAAATAAGGTCAAGGTGCTCTCGTTATTCTTTGAAGATATGCCACAAATCCCCCCCCCCCCCCACCCTCCCATGGAAAACTGGCTCCAAAGTAGGATTTCCATCAAATCCCTAAAATACAGGCTCTAAACTAGGATTTCCCCTACCGTAAGAAGATACTAAAAGTTGGATTTTCCGCACGCAAATCCCACACTGTATTCAATTTTTCGGGGGTAAATCTTACTCTTATAGTTAGAAAGTGCGATTTTTCAAAGAGCCACCCCTTAAATATGATTCATCTATTTAAAAAAAGCAACATTTTTTACCCTCCCCCTCAGTAAAATTCTACAGTACAGTACAGATTTCAGGCGGAAATGCTGGCTTTGGGGAAATCTACAACACCAGTATAAAGTTTGAAGTCTCTTCAACAAATATTCTCAAGACCTTGGTTGGAGCACGAGTAGGTAAAACTAAATATCGTCACACTGGAACTTTTAAGCTCAAAATCAATAGGAATATATGAAGATGTTATGGTCCAAATTAAAACTTTGCATTAAGTATTATGACTGTTAATCAAAGTGTTCTCATGCAATAAAATAGTCATAAAGCTTTGTTCATAAACCATTTGATGAGCATGTTGAAGAGAACGAGGTGATCTGTGACCTTTTAACCTGAAAATTGACATGAAAAGTTTTGTGTTAAGCTTGATGGCTGGGCAGGAGTAAATTGTGTCATGGATAAGAAATATTGGCTTGACTTTTGTCACAAAGCTTCATTTCATGACACATAGCATTTCTGCAAAAAGTTAACAGAAACGTCTTCTTTCTTAAATCAGGTCAGATTTAGTTCATCTCTGATCTTGACTTTTATCATCGTTACCATTTGAAACCGATCTGACATCGAATATCTTCATCTTCGCAAGTCAAATAATTCCCGTCTGCTTCGCTCCCCATGGCCACATACCGAAAACCCTTGGCTTGCAAAGATGATGTCTTAAGAAACTTAAGACGATGACTGAATTTTTTCGATTTACTTTGTGCAGAATCATATCATTTCCTGGGGTCGAAAATGATCATCTTCAAACTTGATCACCATTTTACCTCACATAGCCGTCGTGCTGAATAATAATTAAACCCATCTTGCATTCCTCAAATATGAAACACGCATTCTGAGTGTATGGCATGCGCAATAATGGTCTCCATCAGCATTTCTAGTCTGGTTCCCTTCAAAATGAAAACTCTCAAGTCCAAAAGTCGTTGATACGGAACAAAATGTAACTCATAAAGGTAGACTCACAGACCGGAAATCAGCTCGGTATCTTCACTGACAGACAGACAAAAAGACAGACAATCAGAGAGGAAACCTATAGTCCCTTCCGGTGTCGCCGATAGGGGACTAAAAGTCAAATTAGGTCACCCTCATCAGAGATAAAGGATACAAGCATATAAAATGTTTCATTTTCAATGGTCAAAGTAAAGGTACGATAGCATGACTGAAAAACCATATCCTTGTTAGAACCAGAGGGAGCTATAGGTTTCCTCTCCCTCTGTCTGTCCCACTGGAATCTTTTTCATACACGTTACGTCATGAACTGAAATTAAAAGACACCACAGACTCCGCCTGTTTCGTATTTAGATGTTTGACTGACTGTAGACATTAATTGGCAACTAACAACTTAACTCTATGACAGACATGATGACTCAGCTTTTCCACTGTCAACTTCCCCTATTTGTTATATTCTATTATCACCTGCATATGGTGTTTATATCTTCCAACTAATTCAGTTCACAAGAGCATGTGGGTAAGATCAATTTTTAAGCTGAAGCAGTCCACTGACAAAAAAAGTTGATGTTACAGGGCATGCAACATTTTTGTTTGAAAACAGCATTTTGAAAATTCTTTGTCAAAATAAGGACCCTGTTTGCAAATACAAACTATCGCTGGGTCGTATTTTGACAGACTCATTTCATTCCAATTGTTAGGCCATGTACACTAATCTTAACTAAGGATTATTCCATTTACCTGATCAATACAGGGGGCTCACGGCAGGTGTGACCAGTCAACAGGGCAGGCTTACTCATCTAAGGCACCTGATCCCACCTATGGAGTTTCCAAGGGTCTTTGTTTTTTGCTATGTTCATGTTCACAATTCATTATGTTCACCTTTTTCATTATGATTATCTGAAAGGTTTTCCAAGCAAAGACAGGCATGTTTACTTTTCCAGAAAGTCCATTAACTGATGTACATGTATGTAGAAATGTAAAAATAAACGCATATTGTTAATGTTAATCTTTAATACCATTTTTTAGTCAATCATATAACAAATAACAACAGATTGATTTAAATGATTGGATTCATCTCCTCATACAACATATTGAAGATCACTGCTTAATTGCTGGTTACATGTGTATATTTTAGATAAATACTCAATCAAAAAGCAAAATATATAGGATAGAAATCAAATAAAGTACAATCATTGTTCTTAAAAATTAACATTTCAGTAAATAACTGAATGTAATCCTAATAATATAAATATCAGAAAATCTATTCATTTTGAAATTACACTCCATAACAGTATCATTCAATTAATGTAATTGTTTGTTTGTATTATCTAGTTAAATCTGATTTGCATTTCTTCCTCAATACCTTTAAATTTATTTAAAACCAGTGATTTTCACACAAAAAATCCAAAGGCTTTTTTAACTTCAATATCTTCATTAGTAATTTTATTTTGCTTGATGGCATCACAGTTTACTTCTGTCAGGCTGTCCCTTGGTATGTCAGAGCTTGCTTGTTGTAGGTTGTTCCTTCATTAGTGTAAACTCTCCATCAAAGGCTGCCTGGATCACATCATCCAGGGTGTGGGCTAGTATAATTGATAGCTCTTTCTGCAAACAGGCAATCAAAACTCTTCAATTGCTTCTCAGTTTACCACTACTGTATTTTATTGAAACAAAATCTAAGACAATAGTCTATAATTCTATACCTGTGTAATCACCACTGTGATTAAGATGTAGATCATTCCAAAGACAGACAACTACTGGTACATTTATGTATGGTGTTATATATAACATACCCTGATCAGGGTTCGACATTAACATTTTTAGGCTTTAGTCCGGCCGGACTAGTGCTTCTTTACTTTTACTCGTCCACACGCGATTTTATGCGTCCATCAAACAAACAAACAAAAAAAAAACATCAATGTTTTGTAACAGTTAATTTAAAAATAAACATTTCAATGTACTTTTTATACTTTTTCAAAAAAACAAAGCATTAATGTGAAACATTTTATTCCAAGATTTATCGAAATCTCGTGATCAGGTACTACGATCGTATTCCCGATCTCGTTCGTATTTCTCTGAACATTACATCCAAACGTCCGGGGTCCTTCGCATGAGACCTTAGAAACCGAGGCCCCTTGTCATGGCAGATGTTGGCAAGATAAAGATCCCTCACTGCTCAATGGCCGTGAGTGCCGAGTAAAGGTAAAAATTTGAAGCCCTTTACCGGTATATGGAGACGTCTCTATATGAGTAAAAAAATTCTCAAATTGGACGTAAAACTACATACAATCAATCAATCAATCCAAACGTCAGACATCTTTCTTTACGTGTCATACTAAATCATGATCTCTAAAATGTTTAATTTCATTCCAATCAGTCCTAAAATTAAGTGCCGAATTGACTCGGAATTACCTAACTTCCTGCCATAGACATAAAATAGATTATATGTCTCTGTTCCTGCCAAGAAGCTAGAAAGCTAAAAATACATGCGGGGTTTTCCAGTGAAAGTTGTCGAGAATCGAACACAAGTAAATTATTGATTTTTTTCCAGAAATTTTTAATAGTCCGTTCGGACTAAATAGCCACAGATTTTATAAGTCCGAATGAAAATATATTAGTCTGAGACTAACGGACTAACGTAAATGTCGAACCCTGACTGATATTGGTAGGTATTTCCAGTAGGACTTTCTCATTTCTGTATGGTGTTATAAATAACTTACCCAAATATCAGAAGGTATTTCCAGTAGGACTTTCTCATTTCTGTGTGGTGTTATATATAACTTACCCAGATATCAGTAGGTATTTCCAGTACGTCTTCGCTAGCAAAGGGTTTCTGATATGCTACTCACCTCATAAACCCTTGGCATACGGTGCTGACAAAAGACGGGATTGTTTTTGTCACGTGATCATGATGCACAGATTGCGTCATCGACAGAAATAAAAAGCGTATTTAAAAAAATTTTGTTTTTAAAGAATAATTAACAAGAAGGTATTGAGTTATGTTAATTTGTTATTTAAACATGTAAAAATGCAAATCAACATCTTCAGTATAGTTTCTTAATCACATATTATGCACGTTGCTTTAGAAATAGGATGACACCATATTGCTTTTCATAGAATGGCATGTTAGCCTACGGATCATTGTTTATACTTGCGTTTTACATTACCGATATTAAAGATTCAAGATATATCCCGAACGCAAATACCATCATTTACAAAAAACAATTGCTGATTGGTCGAACGATGTCGATCAACTCCAATCACAACTTGAGAAAAAATCCCAGCTTTTTTTAACACCATATGCCAAGGGCTTATGAGGAGAGTAGCGTATCAGAAGCCCTTGGCTAGCGAAGATGTTTCCAGTAGGACTTTCTCGTTTCTGTATGGTGTTATAAATAACTTACCCTGATGTCAGTAGGTATTTCCAGTAAGTCTTTCTCATTTCTGTATGGCATAATGATTCTCCTAATCCCTGCCCGATGAGCAGCTAAAACTTTCTCCTTGATTCCACCAACCTACAAACGCGTACTACCAATTTTAAATGAGTTTAATGCTCTAGACTAAATGTATCTCTTCTTGTAAAATACCCAATTTTAGGACTGTCTGACAGATTTTGATTTGAAGGAGTGACAAAATGAAATAGATCTAACAATGTGATCAAAAAGAGGCCCATGGACCACAAGATTCACTTGAGTCAATATGGTCCTGCTGTTCTTCATCAACAGATTTTCTATTACTGTATACAGGGTTATTTTCGCCCCGTGTTATTTTCGCCCTTTCATACTTGCAAACAATTTTGCCCCGTTTTAAATTCGCCCAGTCACAATTCTGTTTAACAAATTATACTGTGATTTTTGAATTTGCCCACTTGTGCGTAGGGCGAAAGGGGCGAAAATAAAACGGGGGCGAAAATTTCCCTGTATACAGTATATGTTCCTATGTAAAACTTTGATTCTCTGTTGTGACCTCTTCCTGCTCCCAGATGTCATAATTTGAACAAGAGGCCCATGGGCCTTATAGGTCACCTGAGTATCATGTATCAACTTTACCCTGAGCCCTGCCCTAGCACCAGAGCCCTGCCCTAACACCAGAACCTTGACCCAGGGGGAACAAAATTCACAATTTTGGAAGAGGCACTCTTACTCATCATAACTATATTCTTTGTTCATTGGCTTAATACTCAGGAGAAAAGGAGAAGAATCATTGCATTTTATACAATGTAATCATTAGAGCCCCCCCCCCCCCCCTTAAAACCAGAACCCCTGACCCAGGGGCCAAATTTCACAATTTTGGAAAAGGTATCATTACTTGTCATAACCATGCCCTTAGTTTGTTTAAATAATATCCAGGAGCAGAGAAGAAGATTTTTAAAGAATTAATGCATTTTCACTATGTAATCAATAGAGCCCCCCCCCCCCAAATCCAGAACCCCTGACCCAGGGGCCATGAATTTCACAATTTTGGAAAAGGCATCAATGCTTGTCATAACCATGCACTTAGTTTCTTTAAATAATATCCAGGAGCAGAAAAGAAGATTTTCAAAGAATTAATGCATTTTCACTATATAATCAATAGAGCCCCCCCCCCCTTTACACCAGAACCCCTGGCCCAGGGGCTATGAATTTCACAATTTTGGAAAAGGCATTAATGCTTGTTAAAACCATGCACTTAGTTTGTTTAAATAAGAGGCCCATGGGCCACATCGCTCACCTGAGCACATTGGCTAGGAAAAAAAGCAAAAATCAGTACAGTATTGAAAAGTTTACAGGGAGGGGGGTGTTGAATTTTAAACTACCTGATGATGCTTTCATATCAATATAACAAATGGCTTTGTTGTTCTTGAGCAGCAGATTTTTTTCCCATATATTCATTTGTAAAAACTTGATTCCCCATTGTGGCCCCACCCTACCCCCGGGGGCCCTCATTTGAACAAATTTCATTCTACACTACCCAAAGATGCCTCCATATCAATTTGACTAATCATGGCTTTTCTGTTCTTGAGAAAAAGACTTTTTCCTATATATTCCTCTTTAAACTTTGATCACCCATTGTGGTCCCAACCTATCCCCAAAGTAATGATTTGAACAAACTTGAATCTTCACTATCTGAGGATGCTTCCATATAAATATGACCAGTCATGGCTTTACTGTTCATAAGAAGAAGATTTTTAACGATATTTTCCTATATATTTCTATGTAAAACTTTGATCCCCAATTGAGGCCCCACCCTACCCCCGGGGGTTATTATTTGAACAAATTTGAATCTTCACTACCTGAGGATGCTTCCATATAAATATGACCAATCATGGCTTTACTGTTTTTAAGAAGAAGATTTTTAACGATATTTTCCTATATATTTCTATGTAAAACTTTGATCCCTGATTGTGGCCCCATCCTACCCCCGGGGGTCATGATTTGAACAAACTTGAATCTTCACTACCTGAGGATGCTTCCATATAAATATGACCAGTCATGGCTTTGCTGTTCTAAAGAAGAAGATTTTTAAAAATATTTTCCTATATATTTCTAGGTAAAAATTTGATCCCCCATTGTGGCCCCACCCTATCCCCAGGGGTCATGATTGGAACAAAATCTACACTACCTGAGGATGCTTCCATAAAAATATGACCAATCATGGCTTTGCTGTTCTTAAGAAGATTTTTAAAGATTTTTTCCTATATATTTCTATGTAAAACTTGGATCCCCCATTGTGGCCCCACCCTACCCCTTGGGGTCATGATTTGAACAAACTTGAATCTACACTACCTGAGGATGCTTCCATATAAATATGACCAATCATGGCTTTGCTGTTCTTAAGAAGAAGATTTTTAAAGATATTTTCCTATATATATATCTATGTAAAACTTGGATCCCCCATTGTGGTCCCACCCCACCCCCGGGGTCATATTTTGAACAAACTTGAATCTATACTACCCGAGGATGCTTCCATAAAAATATGACCAATCATGGCTTTGCTGTTCTTAAGATGAAGATTTTTAAAGATTTTTTCCTATATATTTCTATGTTAAACTTGGATCCCCCATTGTGGCCCCACCCTACCCCCAGGGCTCATGATTTGAACAAACTTGAATCTACACTACCTGAGGATGCTTCCATATAAATATGACCAATCATGGCTTTACTGTTCTTAAGAAGAAGATATTTAAAGATATTTTCCTATATATTTCTATGTAAAACTTGGATCCCCCATTGTGACCCCACCCTACCCCCGGGGGTCATGATTTGAACAAACTTGAATCTACACTACCTGAGAATGTTTCCACATAAGTTTCATCTTTCCTGGCCCAGTGGTTCTTGAGAAGAAGATTTTTAAATGATGCCATTATTTTTTCACTAATTCCTAATTATCTCCCCTTGAAAGAGGGCGTGGCCCTTCATTTGAACAAACTTGAATCCCCTTTACCCAAGGATGCTTTGTGGCAAGTTTGGTTGAATTTGGCCCAGTGGTTCTTGAGAAGAAGATGAAAATGTGAAAAGTTTACAACAACAACGACAACGACAACAGAAAACGGACAAATTTTGATCAGAAAAGCTCACTTGAGCCTTTGGCTCAGGTGAGCTTATAATATCCAGGAGCAGAGAAGAAGATTTTCAAAGAATTAATGCATTTTCACTATATAATCAATAGCCCACCTAACACCAGAACCCCTGACCCAGGGGCCATGAATTTCCCAATTTTGGAAAAGGCATTAATGCTTGTTATAACATGCACTTAGTTTGTTTAAATAATACCCAGGAGCAGAGAAGAAGATTTTCAAAGAATTAATGCATTTTCACTATATAATCAATAGAGCCCCCCCCCCCCCCCCAAACACCAGAACCCCTGACCCAGGGCCATGAATTTCAAAATTTCGGAAAAGGTATCATTGCTTGTCATAACCATTCACTTAGATTGTTTATATAATATCCAGGAGCAGAGAAGAAGATTTTCAAAAAATTAATGCATTTTCACTGTATAATCAATAGAGCCCCGTCCTAGCACCAGAACCCCTGACCTTGGGGCAATGAATTTCACAATTTAGGTAGACGGCCCAATGCTTATTACAATCATGCCAACAGTTTGACTGCTTGATGTCCAGGAGTAAAGAAGAAGATTTTTAAAGATTGCATCAATTTTGGTGGTTTTTGCCCCACCCCTAGGGCCCCAGGGGGGCAGGGACCATGAAATTCACAATTTGTGTTCCCCTTCAACCAAAGAAGCTATATGCCAAAATTGGTTGAAATTGGTTGAGCGGTTCTAGAGAAGAATTTGAAAATGTTCAAAAGTTAACGCATGACGACTGACAAAAACGGATAGCCATAGGTCACCTGAGTGACTCAGGTGACCTAAAAACTTAAATTTTTACTGTCTTAGGACCAGGTGTCATGATTTGAACAAACTCGAATCTACACTACCTCAAAATGCTTCCATATCAATATGACTGATCATGGCTGTTCTTCATCAGAATTTTAAAGATTTAAGATTAAAGGTTGAATTTATACTAACTTAGGATGTTTATTTCCTGTTCTTCATTATTAGATTTTTAAAGATTTTTTTCCTATATATATTCCTATGTATCAGTAAAACTTTGATCCCCCATTGTGGCCCCAACATACCCCACCCCTCCCAGGGTCATGATTTGAACAAAATTCAATCTGCACTATGTAATAAAAGTTCCACATAAGTTTCAACTTGTTTGGCCCAATGGTTATTGAGAAGAAGATTTTTAAAATATGCCACCAAATTTTCACTAATTCTTAATTATCTCCCCTTAAAAGAAGGTGTGGCCCTTCATTTGAACAAACTCAAATCCCCTTCATCCAAGGAGTTTTGGGCAAATTTGATTAAATTGTCCCAGGGTTCTGGAAAGAAGTCAAAAATATGGAGAGTTTCCAGATGCTGGACAAAATGTAATCAGAAAACCTCACTTGAGCTTTCAGCTCAGGTGAGCTAAAAAGTATTTTAAATCTTTCAGTAAGATAAAAAAAAAAGTGACATTCTCATTCCACTTTAATTTATAGTGATGTTGACATTTTGATGACAAATGAAAATCCTGTATACTTACTGGCAGGACAAGGCCTCTCAGAGTTATTTCCCCTGTCATTGCGACATCTGACCTCACACATTTACGACTAAATAAGGACACTAAAACTGTTGCTATAGTAACACCTGCTGATGGCCCATCTTTGCCCACTGCTCCAGCTGGGAAATGGATGTGAATGTCTTTCTTGTCCAGCAAACGATTTTCCTTCTCTAACCCCAACTGTGAAAAATTCAGAAAATGATGGAAATTACAAATAATGCTTGGTAATCTATTTAAATTCACCTTCACAGATTTCATGAATTATACATGTTTTCTAATCCAAGGTTCACGTTAAATCAATTTTTACATACAGGACTCTAAATATGAAAATACATACAAGGAAATAACTTGAAAATATTTTCTCCTGAAGAGGTGCCTGTACTGAAAAGAAGCCTCTACTGAAGAGGAGCCTCAATTGAAGAGGAGACTCAACTGAAGAGATGCCTCTACTCTGTGCCATAAGATTATAAATTTTACAGAAGTTCAATGACAACCATTAAATTTTCATCCCCCAACTCACCCTTCTGGCATGTGACCTGACCCAGTTCATGGCTAGTTCTGCAGACTCCTTCATCACGTCCCCAAGCTGTCCAGTCAAGGTCACCTTGCCTTCTCCATCCATCACAGTGGCCTCTACAAACAAGATTTCTCCTCCCATAGGAGTCCAGGCCATTCCCACTGCTACACCGGGCTGGCCAAGTCGCTGGGAAACTTCACTTTCATATGCAGGTGGCTGTGAAAATGATCAAGCATACACTAAGATTTATAAAAACATAATTTGCTGATATCTTTTTTTCCTACGAGAAAGCTTGCATCAATGTACACCACTTATACCTACATGTACATCAAAATATCAAATTCATTCTCTATATTGAATTTTTGATCCACTTTTCAAATGCAGTCAAAATGCAATATTCTATTAAAATTAATAGTTAAAATGTTTTCCTATCTAAAGGAAATGTTTTACTTTACCATTACTCTTAAAATCAAAGGAATCCTTAGCTTCTATCTTTATGATTCTTGTATTTTTTTAGTAATTTGCAATAGATATGGCAAAATAATAATAACGGGAAGCTAAGAGAATTATTCTGAAACTTAAAATATATGTGTATGCAATTCCTTATATGTGACGTTAAGGACAGATCCCTCAGGGAGGAATGATAACTCATGAAGCAGGTGCAGAAATACATCTGTTTTAATAATCACAACATCATAATGGGAATCTTCAGCTAAAAAGACATTATTGAGGGTACTTCATATATTTTGAAAAAGATTTTATGAATTTTCTTTGATTTTACCCCTAGAATATCTTCTAGAGCTGCATCATCAATAACTATTGGCATCTCTGGTGGGTGGGCGAGGGTGGATACATCGCGAGACATGGCCTCCGACATATTGGAGTTTGTGACCTCTTTCTTGTCTGCGGCGGTCTCCAGCTTCTCGTGCTTGGCTTTGGAGCTGTGTTCTGCCACACGGACAGCCACGGCTCTACACACTCCCCCAATCCTCCGCTCAAGTGTCCTTACACCAGCCTCTCTTGTGTACTTAGACACTGAACATAAAAGTGTATAGTATTTTACACACAGTTAATACTGTAAATGTATCATATTTAGCATGTATGATATATGGCACAAATTTCTTTTTCAGCAAGTTAGCATCCATTTGATTTAGCACATTTCTGAATTTGCTAGATGTATAAATATAAAAAAGATATATAAATATATATCAAGACTTTTAGCTATATGTATACCTTTTCAGTAAAATAGATGTAAAATCCTAATTTGAAATTAGAGTACATGTTAACTGGAAAATTATTTACTCCAATACATATGTTAATTATTTAATATATTGCATGTAAATTGATTTATCAGTGTACATCAAGCTGAAAAGTGAAGGATCAACAGCAGTTAAAAAAAAATTATACTTTATTTCATTTACTGTTCCTATATTTACTTACTTTTTTTTCAACATGCACATTGTTTTATAAACAGACAAATGTATAGAATTACCAATGACTTTGAGGGTTTCCTCTGGTATTTGTATCTGTTCTGGAGTGAGGCCGTTTTCCTTTATCTGCTTTGGCATTAGATGTCTCATTGCTATAGTAACCTTTTCCTCCTGTGTGTATCCTGGGATCTGGATGACCTCCATTCTGTCCAACAAGGCAGGAGGAATAGTAGCCATATTGTTAGCTGTTGCTATAAATAGGACTTGTGACAGGTCAAAGGGGACATTCAAGTAGCTGAATTACAGTTAAGGTCTAAAACATTTAATGTCAATGGCTTAAGCCATAAATATTTAATTAAAATTGAAATTATCTATAGATCTAAAATATGTTCTGATACTAATGTTTTCAAAATGAAATGCAGGTCTAGTAATGATGTGTCATGCATATATAGAGATTGGGAGTAACAGTAAACTAAACCTGTGAACAGTTATAAGGGTATCATGAAAATATGATGTACATGTATTGTCATCTGAATGTGTAATAATTTACTGATTCCAGTGTAAATTCATCATAATGATCACTTACATGAATGTTTGCTCAATGTGTACACAAATGTATAGTAGAATAATCAAAACATTGCAGCATTCAATGCATATGTAATGTACATCAAGTATACTATAAGACAAGAAGTACACTATATACTGTAACACCTTTTATGTGGTTCAAGTCTATGCTTATGGTTTCCAATGAATAAAATTGATTAAGGATACTGATCTGTAAATGTGTTGTTTTGCTCCGGGTCCAGAACTTCTAGCAGAGCTGCTGCTGGATCTCCATGAAGAGATTTACCCTAGTGAATAAGGCTGAATTAGTCAATGACGACAACCAAAAGCAGGCAGTTTAATGTTAATACTGTTTATAAATCAGATAATAATTTAGGTATTGTCTTTAATTTACCAGTTTATCCACTTCATCCAATAGGAAAACAGGATTGTTGACTCCAACCAATCGGAGACCTTGTATTATCCTACCAGGCATGGATCCAATGTATGTTCTTCTATGGCCTCTGATGTCAGACTGGTCACAAACTCCTCCAAGTGATATTCTGTCATAATTACATGTATTACAATTATTACACCATTTTTTTTTTTAAAGAAAGATACAAATAGAATGAAAATTTGGAGAACTGACTCGGAATAAAAATGAAGCAATCCATGACACTTTATAGCAACAGTTTATACATGTAACTATACAAATAACAGAATATGTATAAATAATATAATTCGTAGTTTGAAAATTTGTGAGCAGGGCTTTAAAAAGCTCTGTTTTTATTTCAAATTTTAATATTTTCAATTTCTGCACTTCCATTTTGTTGGCTACATAACATACTTAAAATCTGAGAGCATTTTTTACATTGCAATTTTGTTCAATTTCACGAACACTTAAATTTTAAATTATCTATTAATGGGAGACAAAACTGATCAAGTTTTATCCCTTTGTCACTATCAAGTTTTAATTCTAATTATATATGGACCTGTGAAATTCTCTTCCCAGTGTATGTGCTATAGACTTTCCAACACTGGTTTTTCCCACCCCTGGAGGTCCAACAAAACACAGGATAGGTCCCTTCAGGGAATTCTTCAGCTGACGAACAGCCAAATACTCAATCACCCTCTTCTTCAGTTTATCAAGACCATAATGATCTACGTCCAAATCTTTCCTGCAAAACATAAATGATAATACATGTACACTGAAATATCTCCATTGTTATTTTACAAAATTTGGTTTAATACATATAGTTTACAAACAATTGTTCAGCTTAGAAAGTCAATCCATACCGGGCTTGTAAAACATCTAAAGCATCCTTGCTACTCTTAGACCAAGGAAGCTCTACCATTAGCTCCAAATAATTCCTGTAATTAAAAAGAAAGTCGTATATAGGTACAATGAATAGTTCTCAAGAGAGAAAATGCATATCCACTTTACATGGAAAGGTTGACAGAAGGTCATTTTATGCACAATGTTCCATTATTTGCATATCAGTATTCTTTAAGGCATCAACAATATCTAAATTTAGCTATGCTTGTTCAATGTTGGGGAGGGAATGGCTCACAGATCAATGATTCAGACTGTACACTAAGAACTTGGTATCTTAGGATCCACTTGATGTAGGCTACCTATGACAGGGCTCTTAATCTACAATGTCTTAATTTGCCCCGCTGTAAATCTGAACCAGTCTGACAACTCTACACTAGAATTAACCTTTGCATAGAAATGGTCACCACCTAGAAGAAATATATGACCTATCTGCTCTGTATTAGGAGAATTAGGACAAGAATCACTAATCCTTTGACTTGACTAGGAACTAGATTCAAAGATTTCAAACCAAGATCCTTTTTTGACATATGATGCAACAGTATTTGAAATGGCAATTAACAAACAGGAGATAAGACCTAATAAGGGCATGTTCTGGCATCTGTTGAGGCATCTTCTTCATTCTTTTCAGTTCTTTCATAGCTGCTTTGTGGGCGTGTTCTGGCATGTGGGCAGCCCTTTTAAGAAAACAAATGCGTAAATAAATATATAACATCACATAACACATTTATCAACACATAACACGTCTCTCATTTTCTATAAGCCTACCGGATTTTCTGCTCCAGGTCCATGGAGTCATCAGCCTCTGAATCATCTTCATCGTCCAGGTCAGAGTTGATGCTTCTGAAGGCTCTCCTCATTTTACCAGGTCGAGAATCAACTTCTTTTCGCGTCACAATCTCAAATCTGTCCTTCCTGGCTTTCTGTAACAACCTTAATCCCTGAAAAGTAAACAATACTTTCTGAAATGACATCATTGTTACTATTCTGTAATAAAAATATCAAGCACCTATAAATCTAATGCCATACAAAACAGAGTTCTGCAAACAAAGGTACAACTACTGTGGACTCATTTTAATTCATGGGGGACAATGTTTATGGACAATCAAAAATTTACTGGTTTGTTTCTGGAAGATTCAGGAACCAATACATTGACAAAGTTATCGTTTGTGAGGTAAATTTATGGGTAAGGGTGACCAACAAAATCAATGAACATAAGCACCCAATGAACAATGATGATTCAACAGTATATGATAAACAAACAAATCCTTTATATGTATTGTATTGTTTTGATATCAATTGTCTTACTTCAATTTGCCTCATCAGAAGGGGCAGTGCCTTTTTGAATCTCTCTGTCAAATCTACAGCATCCAGTACTTGAATCTTTTCAGAATAAGAAGCCTTCACAATGGCTGCACAAATATCTGGCAAGTGTTGGCTTGGCAAATTCTCCAACATTTTCTAAAAATATAAAAGATATGTTAATTCTGCATCATATACATGTATCTATTTTTTACAGTTATATGCAAGAAGAGGCTAAAATTGAACAGCAATCTTCATAGTCTTGATAAATTTTTAAGAAGAAAGTTATTGAGTTTGAAGTTAGACGTAATAATCAATACCTTAAGTTTTGCAACAACTGGAATAGAAATGTCCAGCATATCCACAAGCTTAGCTGCTTGTTCTCTGAAGTTCTCTGCCAGAGCCTCTAATTCAGCACTCTCATTAGCACCCTTTATTGCCTCACCTAATCAATGCAGTAATTGAATACATGTATTAAATTATGAAATCACAAGTTTTTAACACTACATCATCTATGTTTAAAAAAATAGATTTTTTTTACAAAAAAACTATTAACATAAATGAACATTAACATTAGCTATCCAGTATATTGTTGCAGAGATACCCATGTCATCTGGAAGTTTATCCAGCTGTGTGACAGTGGCCACTGGAAATGGAGTTTCCTGTAGAAGTTCCTGCATTTTGAATCGACAGAGTCCAGTCACCAACAGTGTGTAGGCAGGCTTTGGCCAGTTAGTTCCAGTCACCTGGACTACCACTGCTGCAGTTCCAATAGAGTGCAGAGCCGAAAGATCCTCCCCCTGTGCAGACAAAAATAAATACATACCATATTACAACAAAATTTTATATGTAAGAAGGTATATAAATACATTGTACAGAAATGAAGTCAAGCAGCTTCACACACATAGAATATGAAACAGCAGAGCCTTCCATAACACCTATTACATATATGTATACTGTGCCATTTATAAATTGTGTTGTTGGACAATTTTTTGTGGATATCGTCAGTTTTGTTGCTACATGTATTAGAGCAATTAGACAGATATTTTACTTCCAATAATCTATTAATATAACATCAATCATTAGGGCTGTCACGGTTCCAAAATTTTTCGGGTCGGGTCGGTTCTGTAAATTTTCGGTTCGGTTCCGGGTTTTTCGGGTCGGGTATTTACATCTATTTTAAACCTTAATTTCATGAATTTAACTTGAAAAATCTTTATTTGTTACATTAAATTTACATTGAAAACAAGTCTTAACCATGCGAACGTCTAGACATCGGTGACTAGGCCTACTATTAGCCACAACCTGACCATTCCCGCTCGTTTTGATAATTATCTAATACTTCCGTGACAAGTGTTATGTCATGGAATGAAGTAGATTTCAGTTGTGATGTTTATTTATCAGTGTTATCGTCATCATTCCTTTGATTTCGTCGCCATTTTTTGTATTGAACAGACTCTAATATATAAGGAAGTGTCTATCGGCACGACGGTCGTGCCGATTATTTTCGTTATTCGCACGACGGTCGTGCTAATTACAGTTCTTATCCGCACGACACAAGAGAGATAACTCTATAGTACATTATATACACTTGTTACCAAAAATGTAATACAAAGTAAAAGAGATGCACCTAAAACACACATGTAGAGCTAATTATAACATACAGTGAAGTAAAATTTGCCTACATTGAATTTTCTTCGTGAATCGTCGTGACACAGTATAATAAGAATTAATTTTTTATTCGTCCTTTATATCATCTCTTGAGTACATATTACGTACTTCTGACGTAATTTTGATTGGAAATATAAAAAATATACAGCTATTTAAATTCAATAATTTTCTTCCGTTTTTATAGTGTTTATATTCTCTTTCCATAATTTTCCATTTTTTTCTGGATGGTCTTAACAATCTCTCTCTCTCTACTTCCAGTATACTGTAGACTTTTTTTATCTTGGGATTAATTAGTAACGCTATAAGTGAAAATTTATCACAGCGTACAAATTTAAAAATCTTTAGGACGTGCAAAGGCAATCAAAAATTTGGATAATTTTATATCCGCGAATTGAACAGAATTTGTGATTCCGTGGAACTGTGACCCCGTGGAAAAAATAACGTTCACATTATTTCACATACATGTAGATATTATAAAATGATTAAAATATTCTGTCTTATTTCCCCTATTTATTTTATTTTAAGATAAATTTTATGATAAACAGTAAATCAATTAATTTCTAATATATTCATAGAGGATTTTTTAAAGTCAATTTATGCATTATTATATACTTTGATAGTGAACATATATAGTTTCATCTAAACGTTTTCTTATTTAAGTACGTTGATCAAACTTGTTTGGAGTTTTTCAAATATACAAGAACATTTAAATTCATTCAAAAATGCTTTAAAATTAATATGATACGATAAAATCCATGTCCATGAAAGAAAAGACACTGATTATAATTTCAGAGTAGTAAATATAAATATTAAAAAAAAGCATGGGATAGATTCACATCTAGTCTACTTTATTGCAATACTGAGACCGTGATCTTGATTCCGATATAATAATTCACGTGTAAATGTACATGTATCAGGCGCGGATCCAGGAATTTTTTTCCGGGGGGGGGGGGGGATTCCACCCCAGTCAAAAGAATTAAAACCCAGAAATTTCTTGACAAGCAAAAATATATTTAAACAAAACGTAAACTCCTTTCCCAAACGTGAAAAACCTATTTCAGGGGGGGGGGGGGGGGGTACACATTGACATCTAAAGCTTCACACCTATGTCTTTTTCATCCAACTAGGGGGTCCATGGTCACTTTTAGTTGGTTTAGTATATACATTTTATAACTCTGCGAATTCCGGGGGGGGGGGGGGGGGGATCCTCTAGATCCGCGCATGTGTATCATAGGACGCAGCCCAGACTACCAATTATTCTGCTATAATGTACCCCTTTATAACATAAAAATTAATTTAAAGAATTTCACTGCCTCAACTCACCTGGAAAATCAGGAAAATTCGTAGTGTACAAGCCATGCTGTGACACTTCAAATAACCCCTACACTGCAATTTCAAATTCCCTTAAAATTTGAGAAGCAGATAAAAAATACAGTCTTTTTTGTACCCTTCCTAAAAGCAAAGATTCCAAGACTGTAATTTTTAAAAAATTCCAGACTTGTTTTTTCTATCTAAAATCAATTCCACCCCAGACACTTTCCAGAGGATTTTAAAGGGAAAAAAAACTCTTTTTTTAAATGGCACTACTTGCACAAAATGGGGTAAATTAACCATCAGTGTCGGACTGTCCAGAAGCTTTTTTTTCATATATATAAAACTGAAATTTGAGTGTCGTATTTAGGAAAATCTTAATTATGCCGCGGTAAACACTCTAGCCCTTGAATGAACTAGGAATTTCTGAAGAGTTAGGGATAAGTTCGCTTTTTGTGTCCGTCTAATATGTAAAATTCACTTTGAATTTCTACACACAATAGCAAAACACCGAGTAAAAATTTATTTATATATAAACAAGAGGCCCATGGGCCTTGAATCGCTCTTCTGATAAACTGTACAACCTATCACTTCTATTTGAAGCCTCGAAGTATCCTGTATATTTACATGAACCCTTGAAATTCCAATTCACACTCTGAGAACCCAAGATGATTCTAAGCCAATTAGTACCTGAGAGTTGGTCATGGTGACCTACTTATCACTTGTCATTCTCTGAGGACCCATCAACTAAGTTTGATGATTCTAAGCCAATTAATACCTAAAGTATTTTTTAAAATTATAATCATAAAATTTTATAAGTAAGTCAAAGTGACCTACTTTTCAATTGTTTTACTCCAAGGACCCAAGATGCATCAACTGACAAAGTTTGATGATTCTAAGCCAATTAGTACCTGTAATATTTAATTAAAGCCATAAATTTTCAAAAGTAGGTCACCCTGACCTACTTTTCAGTTGCTGTACTCCGAGGACCAAAGATACATCGACTGACAAAGTTTGATGATTCTAGCCAATAAGTACCCAAAATATTTAATTACAGCCATAAATTTTCAAAAGGAGGTCACAATGACCTACTTTTCAGTCAATCTACTCCGGGGACCAAAGATGCATCAACTGACAAATTTTGACGATTCTAAGCCAAATAATTCCTGAAAATATTAAATACAGCCATAAAACTTCAAAAGTAGGTCACCGTGACCTACTTTTCAGTTGTTGTACTCCGAGGACCCAAGACGCATCAACTGACAAAGTTTAATGATTCTAAGCCAATTAGTACCCGAAATATTTTATTAAAGCCATAAATTTTCCGAAAGTAGGTCACGGTGACCTACTTTTTAGTCGACCTACTCCAAAGACCCATGACGCATCAACTGACAAAGTTTGATGATTCTAAGCCAATTAGTACCCGAAATATTTAATTATAGTCATATGAATTGAAAAGTAGGTCACGGTGACCTACTTTTCAGTTGACCTTTTTTGAAGACCCAAGATGCATCAACTTACAAAGTTTTATGATCATAGGACTTAAAATGTCCAAATTATGCCTCTAAAACGCTTTGAAATCGAATGCCTGCAAAGTTCAAAAAGTAGGTCACTGTGACCTACTTTTTAATAAATATGTTTTATGGCCCCAAGATGCATCATCTTACAAGATTTAATGATTCTAAGCCTCCCCGTATTCGAATTAATGACCTTAATTGTTTTGAAAATGATTAGCCATAAAATTCAAAAAGTAGGTCAAGGTGACCTACTTTTTAGTTGACGTACTTTGAGGACCCAAGATGCATCAACTGACAAAGTTTGATGATCATAGGCCTTAAATTGTTCAAAATATACCTCTAAATCATTTTGAAAAAGAATGGCCGGAAAATTTAAAAAGTAGGTCACCGTGACCTACTTTTGAGTCAACATGATACGAGGTCCTTAGATGCACCAACTGACAAGATTTGATGATCCTAGTCCTTATAGTAAGCAAAATATCAACATTTTAATAAAATGTAATTTTTGGTCAACTTTGAAGTGACCTTGAGACCACGCCCTTTGCCCCAGGGTAAATCCCCGTGCAAATTTTAATCTACAACATATCCTCATCCTTTTGTTTAAGTTTGGTGATAATCTGCCCAGTGGTTCTTTAGAAGAAGATTTTTTAGCAACCAGTACTTTTGTTTCTATTTTCCTAATTATCTCCCCTTGTTAAAGGGTCACAACCCCAGTTTTAGTATAAAAGGGAGCCCTTGGGCCAAGGATACCCTGTGACAAATTTGACAATAATTGGCCAAGGGGTTCTTGAGTTATGGCCCATATTCTAAAAAGTTTACGCACACCGCACACCGCACAAATGGCCATAGCATTAGCTCTTTGAGCCTTTGGCTCAGAAGAGCTAATAAAGTATATGCAAATATAAATAATATAAAGTTATAAACAAAAAAAATTATAAAATTGTTTCAAAGTTTGTCGTGCGAATAGCCTCCGTAATCGGCACGACCGTCGTGCGGATAACAACAGTAATCGGCACGACCGTCGTGCGGATAACACCGGTAATTAGCACGACCGTCGTGCGGATAGCCTCGGCCAATATATAAAGCAGACCCGAACCGAAATCCGGAAAAATGGAACCGGAACCGAACCGAACAACTTGGACCGCGGTTCTCGGTTATTTCGGGTACTCGTGACAGCCCTATCAATCATGTGTCATACCTCCTCCTCCAACTTCTGAGTGGGGACCACTCCAATGATAGTGCTGCTTAGTGTATTCCTACTCAGAAGGCGACTCTTCACCATGTTCATACTAGAAATCAGATTATCATTCAATTTTATTTTTAAAACATAACTAAAAGAATGATACTTTTTTCCACAGGGTCATATTCTGCAGAATTTCTGTTCACAACTTCTGTTCAATAGAAAATTATGTGGATTTCTTAGATTGCTACTTTATGCCTTAAATGTACTTTCAACTCATGTCAGTACTCATCAATATAAGTTCAATAACTCTAAATTAAAAATATCCATCTTAGTCTATTCATATAAAGATTGTTTGAAATTAAAGAGACCTTTCTACAATTATTTTATCTTTAATTTTGCGTCACTGACAGTCCACGCAACACATAAAAATCAGTGTTCTGTTGTGTATTTTGTATCAAAATTTGTAATACTGACAACTAAGCAGGTGTTGATAATTTTTAACAATCTATTGTAGAAGTTAGATTCAGTTGAAAACATACTTTTTCATGCTCTTCACGGGTATTCTCATCGATGATCCCGGTAAAAGAACGCTGTCTTTTACCAAAAGTAGTGGCAAGCGCCGAGGAATTGTTATGGACGACGCCATTTTCAAAAATTCTAGAAAGTGACGGTATCAGGTTCGTTCGCCCTATCTACCTGTTCGCATGAGTCCGTTCGCGCAAGGTCCGTTCGCCATTATTCTTGTTCGCCCTATATCTCGTTCGCCCTATTATATATATAGTATATAGTAAATATCAACATTTATTATTAATTTTATTCAATATTTTACGACTTGGTGTTTTTTTTTTTCAAATGTTGCTACATAATTTTTTTTATTAACCGTAATCTTAATTAAATAATTCAAATTTGATATTTATGCTCTTTACATGCTTAATTGCTTTAATTATACTTAATAATGTCACTGTAATTTAGGGGATCATACAATCTGCGTTATGTTTTGAAAACAATTAAAGGACTGAGACGTTAATTTCTGTTGGTCGGCCGGGTCTTTGATAGGACAGGTATTTATTTTATAGTGTGACCACATGCATACTTCTGTTGTCTCCCGTGTGCAATTTATGTACCAATGTACATATAATTTATTTAAAAAATCCATTGCTTCATTATTCAACTTTCTGCAATATAAATAGGGCGAACGGACCCTGTGCGAACAAGTTTTAGGGCGATCGGACTCTGGGCGAACGGGAATGAGGGCGAACGGCGTCAAGGGCGAACAAGTTTTAGGGCGAACGAACATACAACCGAAAGTGACAGAGGTCACGTGGTCAACAAAAATAGAAACCGATCAAATGGTCAATGTCCATGGCTAAGTCAACCTTGCATATTTTCTGCTGTTTGTGTATAGAAAAAAATAAAGCTTGTTATTGGAGATTAATAAGAAATAGTTTAATGTATTTGGACTATGATCAAATGAATCGACATGTGTTCACGTTTTTCGGATTGTATCGACATTTTATATCGTACAAAGTGTATTCCGAAGTTCTCGGTGTTATGTAAACATACCTTGTGACATTTGCGAATTTAGAAGAATGGCTGTCAGGCTTCCACAGGAGGTAGTACTAGATTGACAGTTTGCATAAATGATTTAATGATGATATTAATGAAACAAAAAAATGTAAAGTACAGTCAGCAAGTTAATGGTTAATGCAGGAATTAAGATTAAATTAATGTGAAGGTATTTAAGGTAACAAAAGGGGGCATAATTTTTTTTAAATGCACAAGTAACATCTCATTCTGATGTATTCTTTGCCTTGTTTTGCCAAATAATACAATCGCTGATAATATTTTATTTTCTGTGTACTGATATATGTGATAGGCCTAATGTTTCTTTCCGTTTTTGTTGTATAAAACTTTAAAAGAACTGACATTTTCAGTATTCCTCGAGATGACTGCATGTTTAGCAAATTCATTTTCTCACTGGGGGAGACAGACGCAGATTAGAAACCTAATTCTATCAAATGAAAGACATTTTTTTTTTAAGTACAATATTTTTTGACAGGTCATAACGCATATAATGCGTTTCCTGAACGTCTCTGATCGGAAGGAAGCAGCAATGGTAAACAAGACGTGGTACGAGGCCTCACTGGACCCCATACTACAGCGGGATGTTGTCCTTCACTTCAATGGAGAGACAAATTATGTCCCACTTTCTAACTTCAGTCACAGGCGCTTATCTCACCTGACTTTGAGTCAACTAGACAATTCCATGAACACCAAGCATGCATTGCTTAAGTCATGTCAACAATTCAATGACAGTTTGAAATCCCTGTCCTTCAAATCTTGTAATATTACGGAGAGCACATTCGTAGAAATTCTCTCTTACTGTATAAATCTGACAAGTATCGATCTCAGTAGCTGCAACAGTATTTTTTTGTCAGGAAGACTTCTGGAGAAAAACGCCGATCTACAGCTCCTTAGAGATTCGCTGAAAAACGTCAAAGATTTGAACTTATCGTCTATTCGTCAGCTATCTGATGTTACGTTTAACAGAATCGTTACTATTTGTCCAAACGTCGAAAGAATAACGTTAGTAGGGTCACACATTGTATTCAGCAGTGAACATTACATTCCAAGAGGAAAATCAAGAGTTGTCAGCAGTGCTGTGCTCACTTTTAACAATATTTTAGACTTTGTGCGTATGCAGGCCTCTCTGTTAACCTCGATAGACTTGAGTCGAAACCAAATTAATGACGACGCCTTGGAGAGTCTTGTGACAATTCCTGATCTACACTTACAAGAACTACATTTAATGGCATGCAAAGAGATAGAAGATCAGGGAATTATTGCTTTGAGTCACAATCAAAAATCACTGAAGATCTTGGATATAAAAGATTGCATAGGTGTAACTGACGCAGGCATTAGTGCTGTGGCATCAAATCTGGTACATTTGGAGAACCTCGCCCTAAACCGATGCAGAAATGTGACCTCAAACTCAGTCAAAAAGTTTCGTTATCTTTCTCACCTGCAGACCTTAGAAATGTCCGATTTGTATCAAGTGACCTCATCTGGCTTAGAGGAGGGGCTTTGTAGCAATGCTGGTATGCCACTAACGCGTGTCAACCTGAGTTGTTGCTCTTTAATCCAGGATGGATTTGTGGAAAAACTGAGCTACACGCATCCATATCTTGCTCACCTGGACCTCGGTTCCTGTAATAATATTACGAACCAAAGCATTTTTGAAATCTCCAAAAACCTCAAACAGATTCAATTTCTAAGATTAGCATGGTGCAAAAAGATTACGGATCTCGGCATTCTGGGATTTGAACAAGACATCGAAGAAAAGAGACCGACAGAAACGGGATGCAACAAAAACTACGAAAGCACAACTATATTCCGGAAGCCAATATCGAAAGAAGAGAAAATGAAAGTCCAAAAATTAAAAGAAGAAATAATTGAAAAAGACCTCCTTCGTTACAAATTAAGTAATCTTTCCAAGTTGCGCGACCTCGATTTATCGGTGTGTCTCGGACTGACGGATATTGGTCTAGTCCAGGTTCTGAAGTTCCAAGAACTTCGTTATTTGAATCTGAATATGATTCCAATAACAGATGTCACAGTTTTGGCACTTACGGCATCAAACCCAAGTCTAGAATATCTTGTTCTTGCTAAATGTGCCGCCATTACTGACGATGCAATTGAGACGGTGGCCAAACGTCTTCCGCGCTTGAATAACTTGAACATATCAAGCTGTGACAGTCTAACGGACAAAAGTATTCGCTTTATCCAGATTCATTGCAAACGACTTCGAAGTCTTGATGTCTCTTTCTGCAGGAATATCTCCCCTGAAGCGATAGACGACTTGGAGAGATCCCATTCTGTAGTGTCGGTCAATCGGAGACTAGTTGGGGGCAAAACGTAAATGGTGTCATCCAGAAATCAATATACTCTGATTTTTTTTTTTAACAATTGCAGTGCCAGTATTCTCATGTTAAATTATTTGGCTTATGAAAATAACATTCTTGATTCATGACTGTATAAGATATACGAGTATATAGACAAATTTCTTTAATATAAAAACATTTTCACTAAAGATCGAAATCATTCATTTTCCTCATCCATTCCTATCAAGAAATTCTCCACGCTCCCAGTTTGTAATAAGAATTCCTAATATTCTCTGTTTGATGGAGCTTGTACAAGAAATCAGACTGTGATTTGTCTTTCATGTTTTTTTTTTCTACAAGCTTTAGTATATAGAAAGTAGATGAAATGGATGCACGGGTTTTCGTCAACAGGCTTTTGCTCCACAAATTTTATTCTTGTTAAACTTTTACCAAATGACTTGACTGTTACAGAGACTTATAAATAACATGTTATTTATTTCTCTGATTATTACCACAACAAGACATATTGTGTTCATCTATATATTCACTACATTATGATACTGTGATATTTTGTTAACATTTTATACGCCGTTTGTTCATTGTGTTCCTATTAAAAAGTCACAATTTATTGATTTACCATAGTGTACAGTTTATTTCAATTTAATTCAACCTGCAAATTGAAATTGGAAAAAATCTTGGGTTTTTTTATTGCAATAATATTACATTTAACATTGAAACATTAAGATATTAAATTGGTATATGCACAATTACGAATGAAATTTATTGCCAGTAATTAATGCACCTTCCTTCACTGTTGATAAAAAAACAAGTATTATTCATATGAAGGTTAGTTCATGGATTAAAAGAATTTTACAATCTGATAATACGATGAATTCAGTTCCGTAAAAGCATGATTATATTCGAATCTGTGTGCACAATGAAAATATCTTATGCCCATGTTATATACAAAGCATCCGGGTTTTTTTTTCTTTTACGTCACTACGTCACTGAAAATAACTTAAGCTTCAAATACCATACACACGATGGTTTTATCATGTTGTAAATTTTGAATTTACTGGGGGGGGGGGGGGGGTGTTAAGTGCAAAATTTACAACATGATAACAGTTATCATGTAAATTTTGCATTTACCTCCCCCTAGTAAATGCGCAATGTAAATTGTCATGTGTAGGTCAATGTTTTTGTATCAAGGTACCTCCACCCTCCTTGCACTTTTTTGGATACAAAGTAGAAAAATTGCACAAATTTTCACTTGATATATATGTATTTAAATATAACTAATTGTAGCATGAAATATTTAGTTGACAACCTTTTTGAGATGTCAGACATATAAACAGAAGTATACATCAATTTAGAAAAAAAACAAATCAAAATGTTTGATAAACGCATAAAAACTGGTCCAAGTGACATAATTTTGATAATAAAAATTTCCAACAATTATGGATATGAAAAAAAGAAAACATTATGTGATAGAAAGGAGGATCTTAAATAAACAAAGGAAAAAAGGAGAGAGAAAAAGAAACGTAAATAGGAGTTATTACCTTTTGCACAATTTTAATCACCCGTCGTCTGTCCGTCTGTAAACTTTTCACATTTTTAGCATCTTCTCAAGAACTACTGGACCAGTTTTAATCAAAGCTGGTACAAAGCATCTTTGGATGAAGGGGAGTTTAAATTGTTAAAATGAACGGCCAAGCCCTCTTACAAGGGGAGATAATCAAGAAAAGACAAAAAATTGGATGTTGTCTTTAAAAAAAATCTTCTTATAAAGAAACACTGGGCCAGAAAGCTGAAACGTATGTGGAAGCTTCCTGAGATAACGTAGATTCAAAATTGAATACATCATGACCCCCGGGGGTAGGGTGTGGCCACAATAAGGAATCGAAGTTTTACATTGAAATATATAGGAAAAATTCTTCTCAAGAACAACTGGGCCAGAAACGCTAAAACTTATATGGAAGCTACTTTGGGTAGAGTAGATTCTAAATTGTTCAAATTATGGCTCCAGGGGTTAGAGTGGGGCCACAATAGGAAATCAAAGTTTTACATTGAAATATATAGAAAAATCTTTAAAAACCTTCTCAAGAACCAGTGGGCCAGAAACGCCGAAACCTATGTGGTAGCCTCCAGAGGTAGTCAGTGGCGGATTCTGGGGGGTTGGGGTCGGGACCCCCCCCCCCCGCCCAATCAAAATTTTTTTTTACAAGTGTCATTTTGACAATATATTCATAAACGAGACTCTATCCAAACCCATTGTTTTACACAATGAGGTGAAATTATATAACCACTACGTTAGGAGAAACCACATATTTTTTTCATTAATGATTTTATCATGGAAAATGGTGAGTTCATGAATTTTAACCAGTAATTTTTTCTCTTTAATGTATATAATATCCGAGGACACGAAGCTACGATGCTTTCAGTTTAAGCCCCTACATCAAATTTTTTTTTTAATATAGCAAACTAACTGTGAATATTAGCCTGGATAGCTCAGTGGTTAGAGCACCTTATTAGTATTTACAGGATTCGATTCCCAACCCTGCAATAATATTCTTCTTTTCTGTTTCATTAAGTACCTTTGATCAGTCCTGGACTTGCAGTTGTAAGTCCGGCTTAGGGCTTTTCTAAAGATTCCATGTTGTGTGTCTTCCAGGGTGAAGATAATTAAAGAAGGGAAGAATGTAGTGGTTTGGGAAAAACAAACCATGAATATAACCTTTCTTTCAGAACTTTCTGTCTTATCATTGTAAAAATCTGTTATGCCTTCTGGGCCCAAAATTGGAAAATAAAATTATCTTATCTATTGGCCTGGAAAGTTCAGTTTTTACAGCACCTGACCATGGTGATAGTTAAGGCATGGATCCCCGGGTTTTCTTTCTGTTCAGTCATAATTTTTCTCCAATTTGTTAGGGGACGACCATTTGATTCTGAAGGGGGGGGGGGGGTCAAATTTTATTTATTTTCATATCGGTGAAGGACTTGATATTTCTTTCCAAGATGATCGAGGGGCAGTCATTTTTTTCTTCTTCACTGAAAAAGTCTGACAAGTATATAAAAAAAATTGTCGACTCCAAATTTCTGTTTCCAGAGAGGGGATAGCATAAGTCAAGGACAGATTATTTATTTTCTTGACAGTAATTATTTCCTACGAAAGCCCATTGAGCGTATTTTCGTAGGTAAAAAAAAAAAAATTTCGCGTTATAACGCGAAACTTTCGCGAATAAACGCGTAACATTCGCAAATAAACGCGAAATTTTTGTCATCCAATTTTCACATTAGGTTACTCATGTGATGTGACACAATTGTTCCGTGAAATATACAAATTTACCTCACTGTTGTCAATTTTCTGAGATCTTTTATTTCAAATTCTATAGAGTGTTCAATCTAATTAAAATTAGACTTGTATTTTCGCTCCTCTACTATACGCTTTAACACTTGTATTGAACAGCATTGAGAAAGACAAAATGTGACGGCAAAAAAGATTAAGAAAGAGGAGAGGCACATTCAATGGCGAGAAAACATAGAATTTCAGCTCGTGATAATCCAAGTTCAAAATAGTCTTTCGTTTTTCATTGTAATGAATAAACTAGATCATTAAAAAGTAAAACAAACTGCAGACTTATGCAAATGTCTCTGTTTTACAGGGAAAGCTTCGCGTTATAACGCGAAAGTTTTGCGTTTAATCGCGAAAGTTACGCGTTTATTCGCGAAAGTTTCGCGTTATAACGCGAAAAATATATTTTTTTACCTACGAAAATGAGCTCAATGGGCTTTCGTACTTTCCAACATTTTCGAAGACAAATTATTTATTTCCAAAATCTGCCAGCCCCCCCCCCCCTCCCCTCCGAGTCGAATGATGTTATTAAGCAGGATAAAAATTTAAGAATCTTTTAAATAGGTATCTTTTTTTATCGGGTTCGACATTCCAAGTAAGCGGACAAAACAAATTCGGTCCACCGATGCACAAGCTTTTTTTTGCACATGCACTATTAGTCTATAAAAGTCATGAAGCTCGTAAGTACAGTCAGTCATCACTAAGGGATAAATTAAGAAAAAGGTTAATAAATTCATAAAAGTGTTTTAACATGAAATGAATGTTTACAAACCAAAACCCACGTTTCCTTTGAGGCAATGGGGGGGGGGGGGGTTCAACATTTACATTTTTAAATGGCTTTAGGACATTTTGTGCTTGTTCACTCACGCATTGCACTGCAAAAACAGTTACACAGACCAAATGGTAAATCAGTATATATTCATTTAAAGTTTGACATCTTGCAGGACAAAAGTCAAGGGGCCAGAAAACTTCTTCACACGACTGTATTTAGTCAGTGTTTTTCTCCTTGTGGTCAGTACTTAGCAGCCTGTAACAATTATGGAAAAATATCAATATTCAGGTAACAGAAAATTAAGTTTTCACAAGATACTTATCCTTTGCCTTGACCAGGTCCAGCACAGTCTTTTGATTTAGCTATATACATTGATTATAGCTTGAATTAGCTATATAGCTTTATTAAGCTATTTAGAATAGCTTGATAAAGCTATTTATATGCAGTTTTTCACAAAAATTTTTACTGTAAGAAATTAGCAAAAAGTCGCGAGTCTTTGACTATTCATATGATATATGTACTATGGACTATCAAAAAAGCAACCCAAAACAAAGATAGTTCTAACATTACAACTTTAATATACTTTTAAACAGAAGATGTACATGCAGTCAAGCCTTGTTATCTCAAATTTGAAGGGACCGAGAAAATACTTTAATATAACGGATTAACCAAGGATTCGAAATATACATATCCATGGTGTTCAAGATATCCTTTTTCGAGATACCAAAGTTCAACTGTATTTTCATTATTTGGTTAACTGTACACCACTCTGTGTGCATTGAGGCATGGATAAGTATGATTGCTTCACAATGTGCTGAATTATTATACCAATCAATTATGTTGTTGACCATATAATTAACCTCTTTGTAATTTCATTCCAGAAGTAACTGTATGGTCACAAATCAATTGCTTTACATGTATATAACCCCAAAACTTTTAGAACTTTGAAAGCAAAGTCTCTCAAGGAGATGCAATTTGATGAGCGATTTGTACATGCATTGTTTTCAGAAGGGTACAAGGTTGAATACTATCACTGCACCAATGTGCGACTTTTTGTGCATGCTGAAAAAATAAGAAATTAAAGAAAACTGTGTGATAAAATAGCTAATCAAGCTATTCTGAATAGCTTAATAAAGCTATATAGCTATTTCAAGCTACATAGCTATTAGCTAAATCAAGAGATTGTGCCGGACCTGTTGACTTTTACCATTGATTTATTATTGAAGTAAACGATTGAAGAATATTTTTAAAAATTGAATTGAACAAGCATTTTGGAGAGTAAATTTGTTCATTAATCACACTCTTTTAGTTTACCAAAAGCTCTTGCTCCAGATGCTTCAGAGGAAAATTGGCAGCAGATATTTTCCTTCCAAGGTGAGGAATAGGAATTATTCAGTCAGAGATTAAAATGCTTGTACATTATAAAGTTTATGTTGATCCATAATATCATATAATATGTTCAAAGTGTGCGCCAAAAGCTTTTTTCAACACTAGCCCAGTCTGGGTAGCAATGACAAAATTTTACTAGCCCAATCCCTTTTTAATAGCCCCTTAAAAGTGTGAAAAATAAAATGACACAGTTTTATTTCATTCCTTTAGATTTGTCCAAGAAGGCACATTTTTAATTTCAAAAATCAAAATTGTATGAACTATTTGATCTTATTTGATTCTTTAAGGACATTGGCAAGGTTCCTGGTTATTGTATAGAATTTTTCAAGAACTTTTGAGTAGGTTTAAATGTACTAAATAGGCTATATTCTGGATCGTTTTACCTACCAATCCAGCATTCTTTTTTAGATTTTGTCAAATTAGTGTTTTTACAATTCTTAATGCATTTCCTATGTAAAATGTTGATAAAAGGGACCTACATAATTTTTTACCATAATATTTCTTCAAAACCCATTTATTTCATACAGTTTTTGTATTATATACATTATTGTAACTTCATTTCCTATGACTTCTAGATATTTTGGTTGAAAATGTATATATAGAAAAAAGACATGGATACACCGGCACCGATCATCATTTTTGAGTTGCGTCCCTTAACAGCTAAAATTGGTCAAGTGACTGGTTGATTGTTTTTATCATGTAATTGACTGAATTGATTGAAACACGTTGTCATAAAAATATTGGCATGGATTTATTTTTAACTTTTATTCGTAATTACTAAATGCTGATTCCTTCACACGACCTAAGAACTGTTCTCAGTCGGCATGGTCGACCTACCTTTCAGCATATGTCACATCTTTGCCCTTCCCAGCATACTGAGCATAACTATGGTAAATGACGACCTGTTTGCTCTTTGTCCCTGAATACAATGTACAACAAAGCCATTACTACTTTTCAATCTTGCTGTATAGATGATTCTACCCGTTGAAGGAAGTGCACGTGCTTTTGTTTACCTCTATAACATACGCTTTACTGGTTTTCACCGCTTAGAGAATTCTACACGGGAGATCACTCTCAATCACTATTTTACAAGTGAAAAAACCCATGTATTAAACCTTTTTTCTCCGGATAGCCCTGACTTGCCAATGTCCTTAAACTATTTGATCTTGTAATAAAACTGTTTTTGTTTCACATATGGAAGCAGTTTGGTGCACTATAATCATTTCATTACAATATGTTATTGAGTTATGGCCCACCAGTCTTTCTGTTCGTTTGAAACTCTCATGTGCATTTTAATTCAAAGTGTTTCTTGACGTCAGTGATAATCTCTTTCTCAATTTTTCCACATTTTTAGCAATTTAAACATGGTGACCAGAAAGACAAATTATAAATGATCATACCAAGCATGGACAGAAAGATAACAAAATCATTAAAAAATCATAAATATTTAATAAAGATTTTTAATGTTTTCAAAACTAAAATTTTTCTGATAATTTTTTTAAGTACTTGCTAGAAATGGGTAATAATCACTAAAAATTTTACTAGTCTGATCAGGCTAGTGCCAACCTACATTTACTAGCCCAACTGAATTTTTACTAGTGTTCAGGAATTGGGATACAAACTGCATTCATTCAACTTTCAAAATTTAAAGAGGAATTTTGTCAATCTCATTGGATGATACACATGTGTTCTTTCAGCAAGTGAAGATGGGGCCCTCTACTGTCTGGCAACAACTTCAGACCTTCTGATCAGGTATTTGTTGTCAGCCTTTTTAGGAGATCTAGAAGGGTTTTATATATAATATCACATTAGATTTTGACATTAAAGAAAGTTTAGGTTATAATCATATTTCATTGTAAACAGTACCACACTTCAATATTTTAAAATGTAGTTTTAATTTTGAAAATAATCCAATTTGACTGAATTAAATTATTAATACATTCTTAAACCATATTTCCTCTAATTAGCGCAGGAAATGGTCCAATCTGTGCTTGGAAATGGAAGGAAATCTTAAACAAAAGTCCCCACGTTGTCTGGTCTTTCACCATCCCTAAAAAGTATGAATATGCAAAGAGATGTACAATTTTAATGATTGAGATATGAATGGGATAAAAATTGAATAATGGATATTGTATGTTTGTATGTAAGTTTGATTTTTTCACGTTGTTTGTTTTAACAGCCTAGTCTGCAGCTATAATATAAAAGAGTTAATTATTTTTTTTTTACAGGGGCCCGTTCTCTAACCCAGAAGTAAACTCATTAATTGTTGATAAACAGGTAAGTGGAGAAAGTAGAAGATATACCATGGAATCATTACTGTTCATGGGGGACCAATGTTCAGGGATTTCCAGGGTCTCCCTTACCCTCGAATTTACACCCCCACAAACCAGTAAAAGTTTTGGTTGCCCATGAACATTGACCCCAGGAATTGAATTGATCTGTAGCTATGATAAAATATTTTATTTTATTTGTACTGAGTGACCCGTTACAGGAATGGGGGACAACCTTGTTCGCTGGATGCGGGGATAAGAACGTGTATGGCTGGGATCTAGAGTCCGGAACACAAGTGGTGAGTGGAATTGTGCAGTTATAATAAACAGATAAAATTGATATTGAGATAGTACGAGGGGCATTTCAAAAGTTCTGGCAACTGGTATATAAAATTTTAACTATGTTAAGGATTAAAATGACTCTGATACCACTGTAAAGCTTAGGCAAATATGCATTAGTAGTGAAGTCATTTTACATTCAAAATGATGTATAGCTCTGCTAAAATGACGTCATAATTAGGTATACTCTGTATACTGGGCGTAAAAATGACTGATAAGGAGAACAATTTTTTTGTTGAGCAAAGAGCGTATTGCAAAATTCGCTCATTGCTTGGCTTTACGGCAACAGAAATAAAAGCCGATTTAGATGTAGTATATAGAGAGCATGCTCTTTCATATTGAGCAACAGCAAGATGAGTAGTTCAATTTAAAGCAGGTAGAAAATCAATTGAAGATGACCCCCGTTCCGGGCGTCCAGTTTGTGCATATGGCGAAAAAGAAATCGTCGCTGTTCAAAATATGATAGCTGATGATGCTAGATATACAGTTGAGGAAATAGCAGACTTAACTAACATTAATTCTTCAGCAGTTTTTCGTATTTTAAAGGAAAACTTAAAGCTTAGGAAAGTCTGTGCTAGATGGGTGCCGCATCTTCTCTCGGAAGAGCAAAATAGCATCCGGGTAGAAATGGCTTCACAGTTACTAACAATTTATGAAGATTGTGACCAAAGGCGAATAAATGAGATTGTAACTGGTGATGAAACATGGATATATTTTTTTGAACTGGAAACTAAGCTCAATAATAAAGTTTGGATCGGTGAAAATGATACAAGGCCTCAAATTGCACGCAGAAACCGGTCTGTCTGGAGAGTAAAGTACGCCTTATTTTTTGATTCTAAAGGCCCTGTTGCTCAAAAGCGGTTCCAGAACACAGCAGTGTTACTGGTCAATTTTATGCAGAGAATGTCTTGTCTCAGGTTGTAGAGCACTATAAAACGACCCGACCAACAACCAGTACTAGAGGATTAAAGTTCCTCCATCACAACGCACCTGCCCATAGATCAGAGGTAGTAACCAAATATTTAAAGGAAAATGGTATTGCCGTTTTACCACATCCACCCTACAGTCCTGACCTAGCTCCATGCGATTTTTGGTTGAATGCCCTTATCAAAGAAGCCCTCCGAGGATGGCGATTTGAAAGTCGTCATGCAGTCAGAAGTGCCGTATTCCAGTGTATGAAGCGTATACTGAAAGAGGACTATAGGGCAGCATTTTCCACGTTGATTTCAAGACTGAAAAAGTGTGTCCAGGTCAACGGAGACTATTTTGAGGGATTGATATAATTTAATTTATGATAATGACGCTCATTAATTTCCTGCACACCAGTTGCCAGAACTTTTGAAATGCCCCTCGTACATACTTTAAATAATTAAGTTTAATACACATTTATGGCCTTTTAATTTCCGAAGCTGACTCTGAGTGGGCACACAGACTACATACATGACATCTCCATGAAAAACGATGGCAACACACTGGCTTCTGCCTCAGAGGATGGTTCAGTCAACATATGGGGTGAGCTGTGTGGTTAACTGTGTATTAGGATAAAAAACTATGTATCACTCACAGGGCTCTCACACCACTTTCTGGGACGGGGGCCAGGGCTGTTAAAATTGTGAAAATAAACAACCTTTTGGGAAAATCTTATAGATTAAAACTCATCAAAATTTAAGTTTCTTGTGTTTGTTTTCAAGTAAATTTTGTTTTTGCAATAAACAGGAACATGAGAAGCAATTTTAGTTACTATTTATATCTAAGTAAATTTTCCTATGTTTAGGGGAGTAATAACTATTGGGAGAGGGCTAAAATAGGCTATGCCTGCTGCCTAATCCCATTCACTTTATGTGAATGAAATTATGTATAAATAAAAAAAAATAACTATTGGGAAAATAAACACATTCAGTAAGAAAAAAGGGTACCTCTTTTGAACTGGGAATAAGGCCTTTAAACAGCCCCTATTGGAGACAACAGAGAGCCCTGGCTCATATTACCTCTATATTTTGAATAGATTAAAGATTAATTGAATAAAAGTATAGTTATTATTGGTAATGAGTGTTTTTAAACTGTGAACATTGCCATGAGAATAAAAGCTGGTACATTCTGTAGACATTAGAGACAGTGCTGAGCCGGTTCATTCCATTGTCCCACACAAAATAGAGGTAAGCATATAGCAACATTATTTCAATTTTCAATCTCTTTTGTTAAAGTTTTTTTTTTTTAACTTTCTTTGATATTCCTTTTTATTCAAAAAAATGTTTGATGTGCATAATGTGCATGTATCTTGAGATTTGATATCAGCGATGGAAAGAGAAACATGTCTATGAGAGAATAAGTAGGTTATGTTTTGAGAAATCCGATAGCTGAGACAGATTTCTTTTGTTTATACAGAGTTTCTTTTCTTTAAAAAGAGTTGTAGTAGGCCGAGTTTAGGTAAATGGATTGGCTGTGTTGATATGGACTCCACAGACGATTGGTTGGTGAGTGCTCTACACACATTTCTAATCAACAAAACAAAACTTATTTGAGAAACAGCTTTTATTTCAATTTTCAGTTGAGTATCTTTTATTTATTTGATATTTAGTCTTGTATCTTGATGACAAGGTTTTACTCAACCAAAACTTCTGAGAGGCAGATTCAGGTGTATTAAAGGATATAAATTTGTAATCAAAATTCACATCTGTAAATGTAATAAAGGCAAATGATTGAAAAATGCCAACTATTTGTTTATCATTGGAAACTATTCCTTCCACATAATGTGTATGAAATGGAACTTGCACCAGACTTTTGGTCTGAATTTTGATAAATTAGAGTTTAAAAAGTATCCGACCATATGAAATTTGATTTGTCTTATGGTTTGATTATTTTCACTCGGACTGGTACTGGTATTTTATCAGATCAAGTTATGCGAAACTTGAATCATTAGAAGCAATCAAGGGAAAATAATATGAAACTACATGCAACATAAAATTTAAAGTAAACTATTATTTCATCATAATACATGTACATGGTATCAAAATGTACATACATGTATATTCAGACAAAACTTTGAATTTAATATAAATTTGAAAGAACCTATACTGTGTACATGTAAATTTTTGTTTCCACATGATTGACTGTGTTTATTCTTTAGGTGTGTGGAGGGGGGCCAAAAATGTCCCTATGGCACCTCAGGTCAATGACAACAACCACAGTGTTTGATACACCAAAGGTGTGCCAGAAAACTGTTCAATTCTACGAAGACACGGTAAGGAAAATCTCCAACTCCCTAACCTATAGAATAAGTCCAGACTTTTCAGATACATGTATGTTCAGTGTGAATTCATTTTTGCTTGAAAATCATTTATTCATAATTTAGATAATCTCTGCTGGGACCGACCATTTTGTAAACCACTGGTTTGTCAATGGTGACCTGAAAGCCCAAGTTCCGTGCACCCCAACCTCTGTGTTCAGTGTGTGCATCAACAAAAATGATGAGAAATATAAGGTATTGTGTTCTTTGAACATTCCCTTGCTGAATTACTTGAATTATTTCCACATACAATTGATTAAGCTCGCTGATGTGACTTTGTCATTTATATTTGCAGGTGCTCAGTGCTAGTGGTAGTAGTTACAAGATAGATATTTGTACAAACTTTGGATATAGAGCTTTCTCATTTGTACTTTCTCCAGATTAGGGTTGTTAACACAGACATTGGTATTGTTTGTAAACTCAACAGTGCATTTTAATATGTATGTAGGCTGGATGTGTTCAATACAGCAGAAAGAACTGCACAGATTAGAGATATGAATTGGATGAGATATTGTGTACCTTCTAGTTGCTAATACATGTATCATCTGTATGTCAGCTTTAGCAGTGCATTCTTCACAGAAACCTAGCATGATTCAAAGATGAAAATGATTATAACTTGGCAAATCTGTGACTTTTTAATAAAATAAAGGAATAAATAGGAATATTTTAGATTTTTTAAAGGTTCTACATATTTCTACCTACTAGTATATACTCACAAATATCCACAAATTGCAAATACTTTCTAGATATTTAGCAGAAGAATCTAGAATAGTACAGCTACAAAATTATTTGCAAGCAAATGCAGTCACAAAAGGAGCCCAGAATGGAAGTGGCTCATTTGCAGAAATTCAAAGCAACTCAAGTGATTTTTTTTTTCTTGAGGCAACTTTAAAAAAAAAGGCAAAATGAAGAGAAAAAATAAAACTCAATTTTGCATTAATTATTTATTAAATACTGTAAATGTTATTTCAATACTTGTATCAGAATTAATTGAAAGATTTGATTATATGAGAAGTAATTATTGTATTTATTTAAAGAATAATATATATCATACTTTTGTGTAGAACTGATAGGTTGCAGAGTAATTTTTCTACATGCATATACCCAGCTTGTCAATTTACGGCTTCATGAGAAGAACACTGCATAATTGCCTGATGTTGACAATTATTTTTTTCTTCAAATGTACATCTGAAGTAACCTTGTAAGCCGTGTTCCTTGGAATTGTAATTTACTAGTACTAGTTAACAAATGTATGTAATTCCCTCAAGATCACTGGGGGGAGGGGGGTTAAAGAAATAACATATTTAGGTAGGTTGCGTTGTTATGACCTCCGTATCGGTGTTAGCTGTAGGTTGCTTGGTTACTATATTTCCTGGTTTTGCTTGAACGGAGATCTCGCTTTCGCATCTGTTGTTCTGACTACAACAGCGACACGTCCTTCTACCAGAACAGTGGGTACAACATCTACAGTCACAGCCATTGTAGTCTGATGACGGCCAGGTACACCAGGGCTCGCACCAGCAGCAGTGACACAAGGCCCAGTAGCCGCAATGCTCACCACAGCATTCACACTCGCAACAATTACAGTGCTCCCGAGAACAACCGCAGTCGTCACAATCACCGTCTATTTCACAGCTCGGCACTTTACAGCAGATATTTCGACAGTCAAAGCAACAGTCCCTCATACAAAGTCCGCAACCAGAGCATACTCCTTCACAACAAGTCCCCTCCCACCTTTCTATCCATTTCCCACAGCAATGATCATCACATACACACATACCACAACAAGGACATTGGCAATCTTTACAGCCAAGACATTCCTCAGTCTTACACTCACAACAGCCGCAGTCACATTCCAAGTTACAACACTCACATCCCAGGCAATCCGCACCCCCGCAATCACAGCCGTCACAATCACATCCCCCAAAATCGCATCCTCCAAAATCCAATCCTCCAAGGTCACACATGTTAACAACGACTACTGTTCTCACATCAGTTCGATACCTGAAAGTATATACAAAACTCAGCCTCTAACACAACTTTGTAGTAAACTTCGCAGAGTGCAATAAAAGTTCAGTCCTTTTTAGTAAGAAACACGAATGTTAAATTCGTTGGCCTGTGTTATGTATGACACGTTTGTGTCACCAATTACGTGGTTCTGACGATTTTTAGACTAATACAAGTAATAGCTTTTCAAAAGCTTGCCTGACTAATCAGTCAATATCTATGGAACGTATATGCAAGAGAGGTGCTAAATGTTTCCGTCATCAAGGAGCGACATAGTTGCGATACTTCATTTCACAAGATGTACAATTGACTTTCTCAAATGTCATAACCAAATACTACAGATTAACGAATATCTAAGACATGCCACTATTTGGGCATTTATTAGTTAGCCCACGGGCTGACTAGTTACGTTGTGATGAAACTGCAAGTGCGCTAGCGTAGATTATAATCAAAGGCGTATCCAGCACCGGCGCGCCGGGCGTGCCCCCCCAACCCACCGTTTGAATTTTTTGTTTGTAGAACTTGTATGTTCATTATCCTTAAATAAAAAAAACACCTCTTATTTGTAAGAATTTATCAACTTCCGGGGGCTTCGCCCCCGAACCCCCATCAGGGCTTTGCCCTGGACCCACTGGGGTTTCAATACAGACCCCCTGCCTTCTACTGCGCCCTCCCGTTATGAAATTCCTGGATCCCCCACTAATAATTCTGGGAAAAATAGTTAGATGATTCGTTTTAAAGAAATTCGTATTATAAATATACTCTCTTACTAGAGGGCGTGCTTCTTCATGCACACTACCTGGTCAGTGATAGATTGATGAGACGGCCTCAATTTATCTGTTTATAGACTGGTCTGTTTTCCGTCGTTCTCGACGACGAAGTAAATTATGAACAGTTTTAACTGGGAAAGTTGTCTTGAAGTATTTGAGACAAAAATGCTCCAATGCTGCTCTTGAAATCAAAGTAAATGACTTGTACACTTTATAGCTAGCGCAAAACAAGATATTATTAACACCCCCCCCCACCCCCCTCCGGACAAAAAAACTCACGCGATGATGGTCTTACCGTATACATGTACATGTGTTATAAATGAGTTTAAAATACATCTTTATATAGTTTTGAAATTGTTTAGTTTTTCTTTTCAATCGATTTCAGGACCTTTCTCAAAATTTTAATAACTTGCTTTTTATGAAATGAAAACCAGTACAGATCATTATGTCTTCTTCATTTTGAAACATCCTTGGCTATGCTGTCAAGTTCGTTAAATTGAAGAACCATGGGGTTGGTGAAGATATTTTTATATTGATAATTAATCAAACAGATGTTTGATTACTAAAACTAATGAATTAGAAAATCTTTGTAGATTACAGTTTCATTTATGTAAGAATTTTTATTTCATTTCGAAATTTGATTTAGGGTTTCCATATTGCAGTTGTAAGTTCGAATCATATTTTAGCTCAGTGCAAAGATACATGTAAGTACCACACAAGACAAGTGAAAAAAAATATATACATGAAAAATTAGCTGACATTTTTTTCTGAACGGACCTTAAAACTTTATGCAGAATTGTATTCGGCTCTGCTGATATTCTATGCATGTTACATTTTCATGACGAATGTAATGTAACAAATTTGAATGGATGAGATAAGTAGATAGCACTAAATACTGGATCCGCACCTTTTTAGCGATATCAAGTAAACCCCCCCCCCAAAAAAAAGAGAGAGAGAAAGAAAATAAACAAATACAGAGAAGGAACAATTACTTACTGTACTGCAGAAAGAAGAGTGTTGTGAACGTTACAGGAATTTGTTGTGGAGTCGCCACAAAACAGTTTAAATGTCCATGTAGTCTTAAAAGACTTGGGTATTTAAGCATATTGTTAATACGAGTAGTTACTGAAAATAAATATTATTACTGTACAACTTAAATTTACGTTTAAGAAGGATCGACAGATAGCCAATTTAAAATCTTTCATTAGGTCATCTGAGTCACTCCGGTGACCTATTGCTATCTGTTTCCGTCCGTCGGCGTGCGTCGTGCGTCGTGTGTCGTGCGTGGTGTGTTAATATTTGAACATTGTTAGCGTCTTCTCTTGAACCGCTGAGCCCAATTTCAACCAATTTTGGCATAAAACATCTGTAGGTGAAGGGGAACAAAATTTGTGAATTTGATGGTCCCTGCCCCCCCCCCCCCCTCCCACCCCGGGGCCTGAGAGCTGAGGGTAAAACCATCAAAATCAGTGCTATCTTTAAAAATCTTCTCTGCTCCTGGGCATCATGCAGTCAACTGTTGGCATGATTGAAATAAGTATTGAGCCTTCTACCAAACTTGTGAAATTCATTGCCCCAGTGTCAGCCCTGGTTCTGGAGGGTGGGGCTCTAATAATCATACAGTGAAAATGCATAAATTCTATAGAAATCTTATCTCCCCTTGTATATTATGCAAATAAACTAGGTGCATGTTAAGATGAGAAATGGTACCTCTTCCTTAATTTTGAAATTTGTAAATAATTTAATAAAAAATACATAATTATAAAAAGAAGGACAGAGAAAACCAGGCCTCTTTCAAAGGGAGAAAATAATTTATGGTGCGGTCGTTTAGAATTCTTCTTAAGAATCGCTGGAACAGAAAAGACACAACTTACAAAAAAGTTCAAATTATGACTTTCGGAGTTAGGATATGGCCACAATGGGGGTGGGTGGTAATAATTTGAAAATTTTCTACACAAATAAAAGATATTGGTGAAACCGTTTGATTTTTTATCTTCTGAATCATAAATTGTATAAAAACTACTAGGATGCATAATATTAGACTGCCTCAATGTTTGCCATACTAATATAAATGTTATACTGTAAATCTAAAGTTTTGTTTTTAATGTTTAATTCTTTTAATTTTACTTTAATTTTATATCAAAGCCCTATAAAAATTTACAACGGTTGCGAAGTTTAGAGAAACACGAACTTTATAAATTTGACCCCATCTATATCGGTGCTGTATCAATACTTTGATTTACCAATGCCGGTACTAGCACTGGGTCTCTGCCCTTGATTTCAGTCGCTGCCACAGGAAATTCTAAGTAAACTCGTTTTAAAAGTTTCCCCGAGACACATTGGTTTTCCAGGGCGCTCGTTCACCAGGGAACCAGTCAATAAATACATTCTTGCTTTCAAGATATACACATGTACCTTGAAACATGTATATGCCACAGAGAAAATGTTTAGGAAAAAATATCTCCAGTGATTTAAACACAATAAAATATATGCAAGAATAACAGGAACCCTTATACATGTATATAGCAATGGAATATACTGTAGTTCGTCGCGTAATATGCACACATACGGCAAAAAATAATAATTTTCACATATGCCTCATGTAGAATCAACTGTAATCGGCTGAAGCCGATCACGTGAACTCGGTCACTCTGCACCACCTCCTCCTTTTTGCACCGTCTTCTGCTTGAGGCGACTGCAAGGGATTTCCACCTGGGCTCTGTCTGCTGCTACTCGAGGCTATGTCTCCATTGTCAGACCTCTGATCCTAAGGTCTTTGGGGACAGTTCATCCCCAGGCTTCCTTTTGTCGTCCTCCTTTCCTCTCCCCTTTGCGTTTCCATCGAAGAGCAACTCTGGGCAGCGATCGAGGGGGGATGCATAGAA